ATCTTCATATGGGAGGTGCTTCTGACCATCCTCGTGGCCCTCCTCTGGACTTGTTCCAACTGTTCCATGTCCTTTTTATGTTGAGGACACCAGAACTGTACACAATACTCCAAGTGAGGTCTCACAAGAGCAGAGGAGAGGGGCAGAATCATCTCCTTTGACCTGCTGGTCACACTCCTTTTGATGCAGCCAAGGATACGGTTGGCTTTCTGGGCTGCAAGTGCACACTGAAGCCAGCTGATGTTCATTTTCTCATCAACCAGCACTCGCAAGTCCTTCTCCACAGGGCTGCTCTGAATCTCTTCTCTGCCCAGCCTGTAGCTGTGCCTGGCATTGCTCTAACCCAGGTGTAGGACCTTACACTTGGCATGGTTAAACTTCATGAGGTTGGCATCAGCCCACCTCACAAGTGTGTCAAGGTCCCTCTGGATGGCATTCCTTCCCTCCAGTGTAGCAACTGAACCACACAGCTTGGTGTCATTGCCAAACTTGCTGAGGGCGCACTCAATCCCACTGTCCATGTCACCGACAAAGATGTTAAAGAAGGCCGGTCCCAACACCGACCCCTGAGGGACACCACCCATTACTGGTCTCCAGCTGGACCTTGAGCCAGTGACCACAACTCTTTGCGTGCAACCATCCAGCCAGTTCTTTATCCATCGAGTGAGCGGTCCACCTATCAAATTGATGTCTCTCCAATTTAGAGACAAGGATGTTGTGTGGAACAGTGTCAAGCACTTTGCACAAGTCCAGGTAGATGACATCAACTGCTCTACCCTTGCCCATCAGTTCTGTAGCCCCATCCTAGAAGGCCACCAAATTGGTCAGGCAGGATTTCCCCTTAGTGAAGCCATGCTGGCTGTCACCAAGCACCTTGTTGTTTTTCATGTGCCTTAGCATGCCTTCCAGGAGAATCTGCTCCAAGATTTTGCCAGGCACAGAGGTGAGACTGACTGGTCTGTAATTCCCCGGGTCATCCATTTTCCCCTTCTTGAAAACGGTGGTTATACTTCCCTTTTTCCAGTCACCGGGAACTTCACCTGCCTGCCGTGATTTTTCATATATGATGATCAGTGGCTTAGCAACTTAGGACCCGTGGATGGATTTCATCAGGTCCCATGAACTTGTGCATGTTCAGGTTCTTAAGATGGTCTTGAACCAGATCGTCTCGTACACTGGGCCCAAGGTCTTCATTCTCACAGTCCCTGCATCTGCTTTCTAGGGCTTGGGTGGTGTGGTCAGAGCCTTTGCCAGTGAAGACTGAGGCAAAGAAGTCATTAAAAACCTCAGCCATCATAGATGATGGCGTTTCTAACACTGCCTTTGGTTTCTTTCTGGCATCAAGAAATTTCACTGAATAAACAAGTACACTGATATTATTTCCCTGGCTTCTGTGCCATGAAATGTAAAGTTAAAGAAAGCTCTAGCTCCACTAAAGTTAAAGAAAGCTCTAGCTCCACTAAAGCTTGGCTTTTTACCAAACTCAGTAAGTGAAGTCAATGGCAAAATGCACAGGGCACCCATAAGCAGTGCTGAGTAGGAGGGACCAGCTTAATAACTTCTGCCTTAGGGAAAATTCTATTTTTTAGGCAATGGCTTATAATCATCCTTCCCTGAAGTGAGAGGTAAAACTAAGAGTGTAAAATCTTCTTCTACCCATCTCCCTGCCATCCTTTCGATCTTGTATTTATTGATTAAAGAAACTTTCATTGTTTTTTTAAATTTTTTTTAAGAGTTGGCTTCTGGAATTTTAAGAATCAATGCACTTACTCCAAGTACTGGATGCAAGGTTGCTACTGAACTTATCTGTGAAATGTATCATGATTTTTTTTCTAATTTATGAAAGTTTTTTCTTTCCACTGCTTAAACATGCTATCATTTGGCTGCATTGCAATGTGCTTATAAAGTGTAAGAGCATAAGCAAGAGAAACATGCTCAAAGAACAAGAAACATCTATTAAACTGTACATTTAACTGTGTAATGAACAAAACAATTCAGAAGTTTCAGATAGTTGCAAAGAGTGTTCTAACACAGATGCATGACAACAGGGCTTGATTTGATGGGCCATGATATCTCCCCCTAAGCTCTGTGATGCTGTCTTCTAACCCAGGCAATTAGGAAACGCCTCCAGTGATTTTCATTTCTTTATCCTTGCAAATATAAGCTTGAGCTTAATCACTGGGACAGATGTTGCTTTCTTGCTCTGAGGAAAAGAATAATTTACTCTCCAGCCCAAGGCCTGCAAAAGGGACTAGTGGTTTTGAGTACCCTCTCTAAACTGTATAAAGAGCAAGCTTATGCCTGCAGAAGAAATTCAGGTTCTCTTTAAGGCACTGCAAACTGAACTTTCATCAGAGGAAGCATCCAAAATTCAGAGTGATTGGAAACTCTTAGTCTCTTTTATGGTATTGTTAACAGTGTGGCAAACTGTGGCACATAGAAATGATACAACACAGAGCTGAACCGTGGATCTTCGTGGCAAACGATGTTCTGAAAGCTGAATATTTATGTGGAATTAATTTTATATTTATTTTTTTTAAATCACAGAAGAAAAATGCAAGAGGGCTTTTAAAAATTCTGTTTCAGGAATTCCTTGAGCTGTAGTCTACTGGAAGATAGGAGAGCAGCACCACCATGTCTTTATGGCCCATTCTCATTGTCTTCCCTACATAACTCTTGCTGGCCATCACTGGAGACAGGATGCACTAGGATGACTTTTGGGCTGATTTTGTGCAGCTGCTCCTGCATTCTTGCATTGTGTTAACAATAGATGTAGGCAGAGATCAGCTCTAATTTGTTATATTTACCTATGACTTGATACTGATGGTAACACAAGTCCTTAAAATAGACCTGAATATATAAAGAGAATTTCTTTTATATTCTACTCGTGTTTTATATGAACTTGGATCTTTCAGCTGTGTCTCAGTAATAACAAGAAATCAGAGAGCTGTTTCGTGGATGACAGAAGTGAGGAACTGAATTGATGAACTGTCAGTGCCAAACATAACACAGGATAAAGTTGAATGAACCTTCAAAAACAACTCGTTACGAAGCTCAAAATCCAAAGTCAGTGAAGGTAATGGTGAAGGAAAGCTGGACCCTATCCAGTGCTACTTTACTTTTCAAAATGATTGAAATCTGAGAAAAAGAGAACCAAGAGAAGAAACCTCAGAAATACATTTGTACGGAAGTACTCCTCTCCTTCAAATCACTCTATTTGCATATACATGTCTCTCAGTAGTTAAGTCATGTGACCCAGACATTTCTGAAACTAGACATCCTTAAGGAAATGTAGCCCCTCTGTTTCCAAAGGTTAGCTTCCCAGCTGTTCATGCACCAACAAAATATTGTGGATACCTGAAGGGCAGCATGTTTATTTTTTTTTAAGAGGATTTGCACTCTGATACAGAACTTCTTTCTGTACTGTTAGCACGAAGCAAATAAACTGGACTGATGCTATCTTTTGTAAGAAAGAAACTAAAGGGACAAACCAGCTAAGATCCTGATCAGAAGTACTTTTTGGCACGACTGCAGGTGCCAGCCACTCCCAGTGATGACACCAGGAGAGACAAAGTGATGACATCTTCCCATCTTTTCATGCCAGCAGTCTCTGCAGGTGCCAGAAGGAAGTGTGTATACTCTATCTACTACGCACTAAGAAGGTCTGTGTCAGGCTGAGTCATATTAAATATCCTGTGAAGCACCTGACAGGACTGATATTCTGCACCACACCCTGATGCAGAGCTGCATCTTCAAAGAACGATCCAGTTCTTCACTTGCAGAAATGCCACCCATACACAGAAACAAAAAATGACAAAAGGTCTAATCTGAAAGCCTGCCATGCTCTGACAAACTCAAAATCTCTTGTCGTTCCATGCTGTGTAAGAAAACACACAGCCCATATACTCCCTTCTATGTCTCTTTTACCTATTAAAAATGGATTACAATACTTTAGTAATGGTAAACAAGGGAACAGTAATATGCTCCAGAACCTGATCTTTCAGGACCTTCCCTGCCGTCATTCCTGCAAAACATATAAAAGACATGTATAGAAACATGAAACTGCTAATAGTTCAGATATAAACTAGGTATTCTTAGGAAATCACTTTTAGAGGGAAATGACAGCCTATAGTCAGTTTTATACTATTAAATAACTCCTTTTTAATAACATGGAAGTGATTATATATAGCCTTTTCTCAAGTAAAGCTTTAGGTGAGGTATTTTTCTAAATGCATAACACAGAACTGAGATTGCAAAGCTGGTGCAGCTTGTGCTTACCCAGAAAAGCAAGGGCTTGATAGACCAAATTTGCTCAACCTTTTCATCTGCACGTTTAATATTTTCAGAGGTAGGTCACCTAATGTACAGTACTTCCCAAGTATTCTCCTCCTTCTGGAGGAGAAGCAACTGCTGACACAGATTCTGTCCCCTGACATCTCCTATTACCTCACAGGTAAGACTATCTCCAGCATCAAGAAAGCCTTCCAATAATCAACTCTGAGTGTAAGAAGTAAGGGTAGAACAAGGTACCACAACAGAATTTACTCCAGGTGTGGAGAACTGACTTCAAAGTTTTATCCTATCTGCCTCAGAAAGACAGGCTACAGGTGGGACTGTATGTATTTACATGGTGTCATAATCTAGAAGCAAATTCAGGCCTCCTTATCTCCCATTAGTCACTTCATGCCTGTACAGTTGCTTGAAGATACAGAGTGCTATGAAAGTGCTAAGTATTCTTGTTACCAGAAACTGACTGAACCTGATACAGAGAATGAAATACTCTTCATTACCCTGAGGAACAGAAAACCTTCTCAGCCAGGAAGGCAGGGCTGGCATATTCAGTTCAAGGTCATCACAAGAGTTGCAACTATAACTTCAGTTTGACACAGGGACAGAATCGAAAGCACAGTCAGTGAACCACAGCATGACATGGTGATGAATTAATCAGCATGTGATTATTTGTTTACTGCTATTTTCCTACTTGGTTAATTTTCCTTTACCTGAAGGTCAGAAGCCCAAGTGCCTCCAGGGGGTTAGAAAATCTCCACCTCCTCAACACGGCATACATTTCTGATACAGTCATTCGATCCCAACTGGGTGCACTGCCCAGTACCAGAGGAAGGGAGCAATTCTGATTATTGCAGTAGTAACGATAAAACCATAAGATTCTTTTCTGTTGCTCTGAGAGTCTGGAAGAGAAGATTAGAAATTCAGTTTGAAATTAAAACCACCTGGAGCTTTGTGTAGCAACAGTTATTGTACAGAGGGGCCAAGTCATACAGTACACTGCTTTTCAGCTAAGTACGTGTTTTCCTTGGGGTAGGGTATCATTTTCTGCAGACCAGCTTTTATAAGAAAAGTGATACTTATACTCTGGATCTTTCAGCCTTAGGTCATATAAAAATGAAGTGTCAAAAGACACACATATATGGTTATTTCACTTTCCAAGCACTCTCATTTTTCTTCTCTACTGTCTCTGTTGGTGGTGGTGTTTGTTTGTTTTTACTGGGGTTTTCTGACAGAGACAAAGAAAGGAGCAGTTATCACCAGATAAATTATTGTTACATCATTCTGCTACACATCATCTCTAATAAACTACCGTAACAGCTAGACACACAACACTGAAAGCCATAGCTTTCACTCCTGCCCTTGTTTTGACTGTTCAGTGCAGGTGTGTCTATTTTTAGCATATTCACATTTAAAATCAGGTTTAGGCACATCCATGCACATACACGAGAACATGAATCCATGTGCACACACACAGTGATTATCCCTAGCACAGATACGAGTTTGCAAAAGCGAAACAAAGCTCCCCGCAACTTGTATGTCTGTTTGCAAGGCCTAGCATACCAAGCTTCGCTGTACTTACTTACAAAGAAGGATTCAATACCACATTCCTCCTAGAGATATTAGCTATCTAAATGACACTGATAAAATGGCCACTCTTCACACTATATTTCAACATAGTAAGAAATGCCTCAGAATAATTTATGCTATATATCCTCTGATTTGTCAACAATTCAGATATCTGCCTCATGCATATTAAATTCTAAGGCTGATTCTCCTTAATTTGGTATCAGAGCCTTCAAAAGCAAGCTTGGAGACTGCAAACTGATCTCACACAAATCATTATTGAAACCAAGAGAAATATCAGTTTTCTTGGTCATACTTCACCAGACTGGTCATCCATCTAATTAAGTACATAACTAAATGGACCTAGATACTTCAGAGCAAGGTGTGAGAAACCTTGTTGAAGGCAGTAAGTAAACAGCTTTTTTTCGGTCAAGCATTTCATTATTCAGATGTGTAAGCAGGGCCCAAAATCCAAGTGTTCACATTATTTTCAAGGTCATCTTTTTATTTACAATGTTTTGGGATATTCTTAGCTAAAAAATATCTTACCCCTGCTCTGTTGAGATTGTGGCTTTCACAGCTCATAGCAATGAGTTCCTTTGGCTCTGCATGCACTAGAGAGCTTTTTTTCTTTGCAATTCTGAACTGCCAAGCATTTAGGAATTGAGAATATTGGTACAAAGATAGACATGTTTTTTATTGTCACAAGAGGGAATGTTTATTTTATTCCTTTAGGAGAATAAGCTTATAAACTTATGCAGAAGATGAACCTAACTGTGATACAAATTCTGTCATGGCTTTCAGTAATCATTTCAAGGAAAGTGCCATTTTGGTAACCATTTCAAGTAACAGCTTCAGAATTCACAGCATGTCTATTGTGACAATAGATGTCTTCGTGTGAAGAAGTCACACACAGAAAGGAGATAAAAGTAGGTCTGAGACTTTATTGCCTGTCTGGCAATCTTATGCATTTGGATGATATTCTGCAGGACAGTTCAGCTAAACGACCCCTTTTATATGTTGACTTGAAACAGAAATTTAAGCTTTCAGACACCATCCTCCAAACTAGACAATCTGTTGTTCAGATTAAAGCAGCTAAAGCCTCTACTCAGCTTGCAAAGGGAGATAAGAAATCAATCCTTGTATCAGGTTTTCTAAATAACAGATTTCTCTGTCTGACTTCACTCCAGAGGCAATACCATTTTCTCTTTCCATGTTTTAAAGATCAGAGATGGTAGGGCATGGGTTTTTTTAGTTTTGGATATTAAGCTTCTTAGTTGTAACACACGTAGCAGGACATTTAAGAACATTGGTAAAAGTACTTTGCAAACGTACAGCATCTGAAGATTGTTATGCTAATAAGGACATTTCTTTGGCTCAATAGGGATAAGATGTTTATGAAGCCTCTATTGATAAAAAAGCAGTCTGGTTTTTTAGGTAGTAGTGTATCTAGATTTCCCACCATGTACCAGCTATATTAAAATATATAGCTCTCTTCTCAACACAAATAAAAAGTTTCAAAACTTAAATAATTCAGCGGTTTTCAGTTTAAAAGTTTTCATTAATCCCTTTAGCTAAATGAAGAAAACAGCTTCTATGAAAGCTTTGTTAGATAGTTTTAACTATTTCTTTTGTGGAGGGAAATGGCAAATATGAATTTAAATGTTTCTGGGCTGGTTTTGTTGTTCATGTTCAATACTAAATCAGAACAAGACAAAAGGCAAAAAGAGGAGAAAGCAGCAAAGTTAGCAAATGGAAATTTCTGTCCCCCAGCTCTGATTCTCACTTGCAAGTTTCTCTCCTGTGAACAGACGAGCAAAATGTGCAGCATCTCTGCAATTTTTTAGACCTGTTTCACTAGTCCCCCTTCAGAAGTAGCATTTCTAATCATAATTCACAGCAACAGTGCACTCATGACTGCTGGTAGGCAAACTACATTCTGATCAGCTAAGTGACAAAAAGCTGAAAGAGCAGTGAAAGGTAGGAGAAAAATAATGACCGAAGAAAAGAAAGATGGCAGAAACAAGACAGTTATCTTCCTGACTTCAAACCAGTCTCTGATCCTTACGCTGGGAGTCACAGCTCACAAGCAGGCTGTATCACGTTCTAAGAGCAGCCATTATATCAGATGGTTAGTATTCTGGTCTTTATATTTCAAATGCAGTAATCCTGAAAGGAATCAAAGGCTCACATCTGGAATGTTTCCAGAAGTCAGTCAAGAAGGCAGTAATAAATGAATTCTCTTGGTCTTGGTTCCCCCAGTCTGGCCTGGTTTGGTGATGTTGCCAAAGGTCATAAAGCAGCATACAGTGTAGGGCCGTGAAGAGCACAAGAGCCATATGGTGAAGTTAATTTCCTTCAGTCCCATTGATGCTTTCACTAATCAACAGCCAAAAGACGTTGGCTCATCACGGTGACCAGTGATCTGAGCCAACTACCAAAGACAGGGGTCTGAAAGTCAGCTACTGGGAAGGCCATATATCTGGACCAGCTACTGGGGAAACAGATGCCTGTAACAGGAAGAGGGCCAAGCACCAGCAACCAAACCGAGTGTGATTGTGAATGTTGGGGGCTTGGATGTCTGGGTGCCAGCAGCTGGGGAGAATAGGGAGATCTGGGGCCAGCTACTGGATAGACTATCTTAGCACAAATACTGGAGGATTCACTATTGTGACACTACATATAAAACCATATATATGTATGTGTATGTATATTATATGTATATATATTCCACCAGCAGATGCTGATTGCGATCAGAAAGACAGGAGGAACAGAATCAGGCTGTGCATGTTCATTTTGTGCCAGTGCTGCATGTTTGTATGTGTGCTGGTAAGGTACTGCTTTCTTCCTGTACTGATTTCTTGATATTCCTATCAGGGATACACAGCCCACCTCCTTAATGGCGGAATCAGGATTCATAACACTACTGGATTCAACAGCCTTTTGGTCAACCATGCAGCTGTCTGGTTTTAATCACTGTTTCTCCTTTTTATAAGATAGAAACCAACACAGCACAGAAAAGTCTTCTTAACAAATACATCATACCGCACCGGGACAGCTGATGTAACTTTAAGTTATATAATCATAGAATCATAGCACAGTTAGGATTGGAAAGGACCTTAAGATCATCAAGTTCCAAACCCCCTGCCATGGGCAGGGACACCTCGCTCTAAACCACATCATCCAAGGCCTCGTCCAACCTGGCCTTGAACACCGCTAGGGATGGAGCATTCACAGCCTCCTTGGGCAACCTATTCCAGAGCCTCACCATCCTAACAGTAAAGAACTTCTTCCTTATATCCAATCTAAACTTCCCCTGTTTAAGTTTTAACCCATTACCCCTTGTCCTATCACTACAGTCCCTAATGAAGAGTCCCTCCCCAGCATCCCTATAGGCCCCCTTCAGATACTGGAAGGCTGCTAGGAGGTCTCCATGCAGCCTTCTCTTCTCCAGACTGAACAGCCCAAACTTTCTCATCCTGTCTTCATACAGGAGGTGCTCCAGTCCCCTGATCATTCTCGTGGCCCTCCTCTGGACTTGTTCCAACAGTTCCATGTCCTTTTTATGTTGAGGACACCAGAACTGCACACAATACTCCAGGTGAGGTCTCACAAGAGCACAGCAAAGGGGCAGGATCACCTTCTTCAACCTGCTGGTCACACTCCTTTTTATGCAGCCTAGGATATGGTTGGCTTTCTGGGCTGCAAGCGCACACTGCCGGCTCATGTTCATTTTCTCATCGACCAGCACCCCCAAGTCCTTCTCTGCAGGGCTGCTCTGAATCACATAACTACTGTACCTTTTGGCCTTTGATGGAGGATTAACCCACACAATGAACTGTGATTGGTACAATGGCTCTCTAATCATGTGTGTTCCCAATTCCACTCTGTTTATATCCAAAGTTATTATACACAGTACATAATCCTAATTGATATTACAGCAGACATATAGCTGAGCATACTAATTTGCCTCAATATATAGTGTGGTTTGTTTCACTCTGTCTTTATCCACTTTCTGTGAAAGCTAAAATTTCCATACTTCTTTCCTTGCTTGTAACTTGACACAGGTTGTTTTAATGATCATATACCATTTAACTAAAATATCTGAATTACAAATATACTATTACTAAAGGACGCTAATTTTCACAGAACCCAAAGATTTCTTGCTGATGCTGATATAGACTTAATGACATCACCTGAAAATCTTATGCTTTGAATCAAAAATTAGTTTATTTTCTAAACTGGTAAAATACAATGCCACCTCCAGGGGCTTATTTAGGCTTTGCTGCGATCTATTCTCCCATTTAGAGGTGCTACTACTCAAATCAATCAAGCTAAACTCTCTCAGAGGAAAATTTTGGTTTTACAGAATTGGATACATTTAATTGTGATCAATAGGCTAAGTACAGCAAGCCAAGAATCAGCAGGGGTGGCGGGGTACAACTTACAGCAAGACAGAGCATATCTGCGAAAGTCTCGCAATATGCTTCAGGCAGTCTTCGGTTGGCTCTTCAAGATCACCCCTTCTTTCTTCAGGTTCAGGTTTAATGAACTCCAAATTAGTTTCTGGACAGTCAATCTTTATTTAAAAACAGAACAAAAAGAAGTCATAAGTCCTTTTAGCCACATTTATTCTCAGATACAACTGTCAAAAAATGATCTGTTGGATTTGTACAGGAGGCACACAGAATATGACGGAAAGAAGAGGGGTTAATTCTTTGAGGCCGTTCACTGTTATGTAATATATTACTTAAATGTGTTGGTGATAAAAGCCCATGAAAATCACTGGGAGTTTTGTCACTAACCTTCCTGGAAGAATTTCATCCACTGTATTTCAATTTTATCCAAACTGTAAGAACATACAGATGACATAATTTTTTCCTGTTTTTTTTCTCCTCCTATCTTGATTTTAAATGAGATGGTTCTTAAATGGAAATCTTTCATTAATGTAGATTCTTTTTTTAGTTTGCCTTTTTTTTTCCATAAAAGTAGGCATAATTCTGATCTATAGTTTGCCAGCGTAACAGATGGAAATTAGATTCCTGATTTAACTTCTGGTTGTTAAGTTTTATACATATTCTATGGCATCTACTAATTTTTCATTTCTTACACTTATAGCTGTCAGAAATTTAGGAAAACGTTTTTAAGATAAAGAGAAATAAAACATTGAACTGGAATTAAAAAGCTTGAGGTGATTGATAATCTAAGTATAAACTTTGCTAGAAATTCAGGTTGTTCTTCCAAGTTCAGCTCAGTTTGCACCTCCTGGTTTCTTGTGGTTTTTTTTTTTAATGCACATCATAATCATCTGTATCTATTCTTTTTAATATACATATTAGAACTGCATTTCTTTTCTAAAGGTTAAAAAAGTTATTCCATACAAAATGTGTCCTGTCAATCACATCAGAAAAGCTCTCTTTATGACATTTCCAACATGTTCACAGATTATGATACTGCCACATGTATGGGAATAACTGAAAGTGAAGAGGAGAGAATGAGAGATCCTCCTGTTCTGTTTCTTTCAGTAGAGAGAGATTATAAATTAATAGCCATTTATTGTTACAACTGCCCTTCATTATTAATACGGGGAGCTATTTTAAGGCACCATCTTTGACTGAAGTTCTCAGACTAGGAAATCTCCATTTGCTCATCTATCAAAAATAGGCTATTTTTAGGACAGCGTCATTTATCTGTATTGTCTGCTTTTACATGTCATTTCTGAACAGTTATTCAGCTTTCTAATATAGAAAACAATTGGCTTTGTTCTTGAAGTTTCCAGTTGCTAATTTACACTGGAAAGGTGACAAAACTACCATGCAGATATAATGTATTTTCAATACTGAAAGCACCATTCTGCCCAGAATGAGTGGGTGCTCAGCATGTAGTCATCAAGAGAGAACTATACTGATGCTTATTGAGAACTGCTTGTAGCCAGTTCCTTTACAAATCCTTTATGCTACTCAGTCTAATTGCAAGCTGTATATTCATAACGGCATACAATTCAATAGAACTCAGAAAAAAAGCTCAGATTTGAAAAGGCAGTTATAAGTCAGGTATCAAAGTTATTATTTTGTGCCAAAAGTATTTTTGGAACTAAGATTATACCAACAAAAATTACCCTTTAAAAATATTCTTTGGCCCTCAGAGGTGGCATCTGATATGGAAAGTATTGTACATATTTGCCACTGTGCAGTTACAGACTTCCATCCACTAAAATTAACATGCTGTCTCTGAGCAGCTATAATGGAAATAGGATTTGTAATTTGTGAGGTCTTGATAAGCCATGGGAACAGCCCTTTTTCTTGAATTTTGTTAGAAAACAACCTTTCTCTTTGCTTTCTAGCTTTCTTACCTGCAGTGTTACTGAGGTTGGTGTAGCAGTACTGCAGATGCCTGGGGTAATCATCGTTGTTGTAAGCGTGCTGTACAATGTCATGCTAAGTAGTATAGTTCCATGAATAAGCTGCCTGCAACACACACAGACTAATGCATTGGGTACTGGAGACAATTTGAACAGGGTTTACTGAAATTACATCAAAGAACTTGGAACTGGATAGCTTAAAAAGCAAAAGGAAAACAAACCTTTTATCTCTATGTGTCTAATAAAAAACTGGCCTAGATAAGTAGAGGTTGCATACTGATGGCCTCACTTCTCTAGTCATATCTGTGCAGCTACAGGGATCATGACACAAAATCATGCTGCCAAGACATTCTAGGTCAACTCTGCACTTTACCACTGACTTCTTGTGTGACAGGACTTGCCATTTAAGTTAGGTGTGAAATAAGTATAACACCATATTTCTACCTCAAGATTTAATTTTGAGGACAAACATATTAAGGATTGCAAAATGTCAACACACTGTTTAAGGTGGGGAGTGGTATGAATTTATTCCACAAAAAGAACAAACTCATGGTAACCTATATTGCAACCTTGAAGGACCTTTGCTGATTTTATGTGTAGATGGCAGGGAAAAGGGAATATGATATCAGAGTCTCCAAACAGCTGAAAGGAGTTTGAGTGGGGTAGTTTGTCCATACGTGCTGCATACGGGGTTTTGGACAGATGAAGGATTATGATCTGAAGTACCAGTCTGAGCGCTACATGTACAAGAGTCTTATCAGAAACAGGCATGCATGTGGTCTGCAGATAAGAAAACCAGCATGATTTGGTAGGTCAACAAAATTCAGTCTAGAGAACTTGAATAAAACCAGACAGTTCAGGTATAAACTCTAATCATAACTAATTCGCTCAAAGTAAGAAAATAGTACCTGAATATAGGAAGATACAGTACACTGGACTTAACCTGCAATTTGTCCACATCTTAATGCTTAGTGAGGTCAGAAATTTTATTATGTTCAACATCTTTTTTACTGACAAATAATTTTTATTGTGATCATTCCAAGCACTGCTCAGTCAAAACAACCAAGGAAATGAGCCAAGATTTCCTGCTGTCCACTGCAGCAGAAACAGCCAGCCACGTAGATGAGGTTTGAGTGTGCAGCTTTTACCTGAGATGAGGATGTTAGGTGTATAAGAGAACCCAGATGGACTTTTTGATCCCAACATGAGTTTGCAATATCGCGGTAAGAAAGCAGCTTTGAACTGCAAACCAAAATAAACTGTTGCTAACTCATCTGAAGAAGAAATAAGAAACTCCTGCAAAGTCATTTTTATAGAAAACACTCTGTAAAACTAATTCAGAGGTAATTTTTTGATTTTGCTATTCATTTCTGTTCATGTAGTTAGTGCAAATATTTTATGTTATTGTGAAAACACAGCTTAGGAGGATTACTAACAACCATTTTCTGAAGTTTCTTTTGCAGCTGTAGGTACATTTCCTGGGGAATGGAGGTAGAAAAAGGAACTGTGATGTGAAAAAGATAGTTCTTGGGGGAAAGCAGTTGTGTGATTTGAAGTCTTCCACAATTAGGTCACTAATGTGAATAGGGAATTAATCAGTGGTGATACAAAGTTGTTTTTCTGTTATGTGTCCTCGGATGACCTTTAATAAACGAGTCAAATCTCCTGAACCACTCTTTTGTTGACAGAGGTTTACATCATAATTGGAACTAATTGGCACTTCTGTTAAAAGGGAGAGGAGCAGCTGAAAACTGAATGGATGCAAATACCAAATTATCCTTTTGAGCTCTCATTACTACTAATCACTTTCATATTGTGCTCTAAAACTATAGCGGGCTTTAAGAAAAAGAATACATATAATGAATATTTTTCCTGGGAAACCTGTATAGACAGATACAAGAAGTACCACAGACCTCAGAGGCACTGTACATATGTGTTTAATTGAGGCATTTCCTGAGCTCATTATTTCAACTCATTTGCACCCAGTACAGATGTGGCCAAAGACTTTCCAGGAGGATAAGGAAGAATAAGATAAAGTGGGTTCTCAGACTCCTAACTAGAGAAACAGCAAATAAAGCCAGTCTTTGCTGGACTGAGAAGACTTCAAATGTTAAAGCAAATGACAAGACTGTGAGTAAAACCAAGGACATTAAACTACTTTGATAGTACAGATTTGTTTCTTAGAACTAGATACATATTTATGCCTTGTAAATAGAGAAGCCTAATTTATACATTATAAATAAGTGAACAACTTATGTATCTTCAATCAGTAAGTCAGTCTTTGGACTAAGCCTAGTCTGTAAACACAGGAGGCATGTTTTAACAGTTGTGAAGAAGCATCGACAACTGTGACATACAGTGTGTGTTTTTGCAGCATAGTTTTCCCTAGCAATCTCTGGGACACTGTGCTAACATTCTTCAGGTCTGGGTCTGCTTCTGAAACACACAGGTCAATGAAACAATAAAAAGATGCATCACTGTTTTTAGAAAAAGAGAAAGAAAGAGGAGAACATGCAGGATCCATTTGTAAAGGAAGGAGGTAGCATCATGAATGTGACAACCATAACCTTTATAGAACAAATTCCTCTGTGTTACCTGGTTCTGTTGATGAGCTCAGGCAGCTCACTCCCTGTTCTGCCTGTCGGTTTTCCCATCTATAAGGTGAGGGTAGTCATACTGTCCTTTGTAAAGACTGTATAACAATCACAGCCATAGACAATGCCTTCCATGTAAAATTTCATCATCAAGCACATCAGAAGGTGAATAAACAACTGCTGTTCTGTGCCTACTGCCATTTATTTATTTATATGCTCATGTAAAATCAGGGCAGACGGAAAGCCCTGGAATTACACAGATTCCCAGATCTCGTTTTTTACCACAACCAAAATAAGCTCCCCACCTTATTACAGAAGAGAACACTGCTATTTAAGGACAGCTCAAATTTTATCCTAAGTTAACAAAATCAACCTGTATTCTGAAGTCATGTAGAACACATCCCTCACCATACCCAACAAGAGGAAATTTTTATTGCTTGCTCTGCCTGTTTGGAAATACCAGTTCAAAATAAATGGTGGTGTTAGAGTCAGCCAAGTCGGAGCAATGGGCAACGTGGGGGACATTACAACTCCCAAATTGCCCAGGTGATGGATTCCTGATTTGTTAATTAGCTCTGGATCACTCAACTGTTCAGCCCAAGAGACAAACACAGTTTTCTGATGTGAAAGAATGCAAAGTTGGTACACTGGCTTTCAAACATTTTTCAAATTGCCTCTTCTGTCTAATAAGATTTCTTGCTATAGGTGCACCATCAAGGGCTTTATTGGCATTGATTCAGGCCCACTGAAGTCAGCTACCTGGTAACGATGAGAAATGTGGATATAGAAGTTCACCTACTGGTCAAGTTGGCAGCTACAATAGTTAATACTGTGTTAATTCCCAAGAGTATATAACATTAGAGGGACTGTTTAGATCATATATACCAGGAAAATGAGGACAAAATATAGTGTTAAATAATGTAATTATCCCCAAAACTGACATTATAAGCCTCATAAATTCAGAGTTGTGTTTAAAGGAAATTCAAAGCTTCTAAGCTATTAAAACCCCCATATCTTATGGACCAAGAAGTCTTAACTCTGCACTCGAATGATATTGCAACATAACTACTTTATTCTAATTACAAATGCTACAGAATTTTAGAAAATTTGAATTAGAGATACAATTTTCATCTGCAAAGGAATGCTAAATGTTCTACGGACATTTATAAGGACCACATCTTTCATCCCCAGAGTTTCTAGTTTAGGTAATTTTCATAAATTTGAAGGTGCTAAATACAGCAAATACAAAATTATCAGAATATTCCAGACTTTCAGAACAAATTTCCAGTTACGTTCCTTATCCTTTCCTAATTTTGCCCCAAAACATAAAGCTAAAAAATAAGTTTACAAGCTATAATTTTAAGGTAAACAGCTATATTTAGGCAAATATTGGAAAATATCTGCAGGAGCTCAGTTTTGTAAAGACTGAAACTATTTGCACAGAAAAATGCAAAACTGGTAAGCAGCAATCTCAATCGCATTTGATAATTAGTGGCTGCCCTGTATATCCACCAACTAGTCATGTTATAAGTCAGCACACTCACAAGACAACCACCAGAATAGTGAGAGATATTACTAGAATTCAGAAAATTTAGCAAATTTGAAATTTACTAAACATTTATTCACTGACAAGTTGTTAACAACAACAAACACCAAAATTAAACAGGCCAGATTCTTGGGAACATTTTTAGGTATTGTGTCATTTCAACATGGACCAGGTATGGAGAAAAGATTTCAATATGAAATTCTAAATAGTAAGCAATATGCTCTATTTAAACAGTTGTGATTTGATTCTATTTTATTCTGTATTTCTCATATACTGTGCTTAGCCAGTATTTTTTTCAGAGAACTGGAGAATTAAAATCTCAAAAAATAGCTACAGCCTTGGCAAGGGACTTTGACATGGTCTTGCCCAAAAGCATGAGAAACTCTTCACACTTCTTGAAACATATGAAAGGAATTTGTATACTTTGTATGTTAAAATAAGTTGGTTTTCCCTCATCTGCAGTTCAAAGTAAAACAAGGAATAAGAGTGTAAAGGAGAGAAGCAGCCATACAATGACAATAACCATTTTGGAAGAGAACATAGATATCAAATTTACAGAGAGGAGTCCTTTAAAATAAAATGTTCTTTTGCCCTAGGGCAGTCAAAAATCAAGATTCATAATATCTGAGAATAACCCAAAACTGACAATTATTTTTTTCCTTTTTTTTCTAACATAAGCCACAACCCGATCAAATGGAATTCCTGTGGTTTTAATCAGAACAAGATATAATGGGACAGAAATGAGTAACAGTATTTTTTAATGTCTGACATTTATTTTCTTTTTCCGGTGTTTTAATTTTTCTTTCCTTTTTTTTTTTTTTTTTTTTTTAAGCAAGCATCTGAATAGAGAAAAAGAGGCCACGCTCTGTACTCATATTTGCTGACCCTGAGAAGAATGGCTCAGTGACCAACTGGGACAACAATTTGAACAAGGATGTTTGATGACCCAGGCAAATATCTCAGGGTTACTGGCTTCTTCAAAGAGCTTACTTCTGTCCTTTCTCCTGTAAATTAAATCTTAGACATGAGAATGTTAAGACTTTTTAGAACTCAAATTCAACTCTAAGGAAAGTTTTCTTTTGAGAAAGTGTTATTTTCCAAGTTAGAAATGTTTTGTCAAAGATATTCTGGTGAGATTTCTTTAATCTCTTTATACACATTTACAAAGTTTGTTCATTTAGGGACCTTAATACCATAATCTCTGCAATAATATAAGGTATTCTTGAAACATTAGCATGACATTATAGCTACAAATTTTTCTTGCTACATACTTTCAAGTTAAGAAACACTCTATTGAAATAAGTCTCCAAGTTTAGTTCCATTCCAGCGGCAAGGGTAGTGAAGCTGGGTTCACTTCAAACAGTTTATGCTTTCCACAAAATTTGTGAATCAAATAAAAACCTTTATAAACTTTTTTATAAGCATTTTCTGTGGAGCAGGAAAAGGCCTCTCAAAGTCCTACTGTTGCTTCTCAATTACTTCAACTGATAGCATTACCTTTTAAGAATTACCTGGCAGTTTTAATCCTGCTGATAAGTAGGTAACTCTGAGAGCTAGTTTACAAAAAAAAAAAATCATCTTCCAAAGAAAAGGAAAAGCAGGCTGAGTGAATGTTCAGATATTTTCAGATTTCACATTTCAGAAAATTTCAGAGCTATCCTTATTTTTAAACCAGTCAGACTATCAATTGTAATCATGGTTAATGAATAATTCTGCGGAGCTGTGGCTGCCTGAAAGAGGAAAAAGCATTTAGGCTTCTTTGTGTTAGTAATTACTGTAATTGTAAATGACACAGCTATCATATTAAGGGGTGTTGAACATGCTGTTCCTAAATCATTCCTCCCCAACAACTGAACTTTTATTTCTGCTTTGAAGGGTCATTTCAGCAATGAGCTCTACAATTATACAGCAGATGAAAGAGAAGTGGCCTTCTATCCCCTTCACTGTGCTGATTGTGTGTACCAGGAAAGAATGGAGCCATTTTTCAGTAAAATTTTCAAATCACTTGGTGATTTACCTAATGAAAATCAACATGCTTGCTCCAATGGCATATATTAAATATATATATATATGTATATTACAAGTTGCTGAAGGCTTTCAGATCTTCTAAAAATCATTCCCTTGGGATTTGAATTATAGAAAGCCTCTAGTACAACAGAGGTCCTCAAGGACAGTATTCTTGTGTATTCCAGTTACCTGCAAAGGTACCCAAGTGTTCCCCAATTAAGTTATTGTAATTCTCTGCTTCTGATTATACTCAGAAAATGTCAGCTTGCTGGGGATGAGGACATCTTAACACTTCACCTCAAGTTATATTCTCAGTCAAGATTTTCTCTCAATTTTACCCTAAGCAACAGGATGATAGAAATACTCAAAATAAATATAATGTCCTTTTTGTTTAAAAAGACACAATGGAAGAGTGATGTGCTCTACTTCAGACTAACTATGTAAGAAAAGTTATGAATAAATTGCCCAAGCAATCCTTGGAGCAGAGACTTGATATATGTTTCTTTCCTTCCTTCAAGCTAAGTCCTCTAATCATTAAGACACAGAAGAATGCTCTCTTTCTCTAAACAGAGTAATCTTGAATTTTCTTCTGAAAGGATGGAAAAAGCCTCTAGCCAAGTCCAACCTATTTTTCAGTGTTTAAAGCCTCTCAGCTTTAAAGTTCAGTGGAACCCAAGGTCTTTCAAACATAGTAATTCATACATGCAATCAGATTTCTTCAGTTTATTTTGTTTTAAATGGTGATTGCCACCATATGGGGAAGTGGATGGAGATGTCTCAGATGAGGAAAGATTTACAGCTTAAAGATGCATGCTAATGCATAAACTTGCAGAACTTCAATGTATCCATCTAGATCTAGAGGGCACGCAGGGCTTGGGTGTCTAAATAAAAATTCAGTATCATTATAAAGGCTTGTTTTAAATTCAGACATCTCAGTCCTACTGAAGTATATTTAGAGCACTGCAGAAAATTTACCTTAGATCTCTGTTTGTGCATCACTGCAGGGACACTCAAGGCTACCAGCATCGCTAAACCACTGTTATATTTTGTGCTTTATAGAAAGAAAAGGTTAAAAAAGAGGAGAAAGCTTCTAAAGTGGTGTGTAAAGGGAAAGGTGATCATTGCGGCATTCACTAACTGCCTCACTTTCAGCAGAATGAATGGGTGACAGACCGGAATGCAGACTGAAAAAAACCCAGTCATTGTGAACAAGAAGCTATGCTGAGAAGGATTTTGCAAAGCTACAGGAATGGGTACAGCAAGGCCTTTCAACAGGCCCAGGGAACTTTACTGTTAAGTGTTAAACAGTTACATAAGCCAGGTTTAAAAACAATGTATTGGAAAGAAAGAAAAACTTATGGATGGGACTTTTACTGGCACATCAAGAGCAGTTTATAGTGACTGTCTCAGTCTTATTACAGGAAAGTCCTGAAATTAGTATTTCTGTCTTTTTATATTTCTCCCAAGTTGAGTGCAACAGTGTTCAAGAATGGTCTCTTCTTAAGCTATAATACAAAACTGAACTTACTCTTTTGGATACAATGGGGAGCATGTCCAAGCAAGCACTTCCGTATTTTTAGAGGCACTGTTAACTCCAAGTAGTTTTATTGTCAACATAGTTTCCCTCGGAAGAGCCTTTATTCGTAGAGGAAAGTTGATTCTAAAAGCAAATGAGAAAAGAGAAAAATAAAAGTTTTTTAAAACTGAGCATTGTTATAATAAGTGAGTTCTACTGGTTTTTTAGATGCCTTAACACAGATATCAAGCTGTAAATTACAAGAATTGTACTCTGAAGGAAATACAACTGACAGATCCCTTCAATACATTGATGAGTACTGCTAACCATTAAGTTGGGTCATAGTACTTGAGAAGAGGCATATAAAAAGTCATTTACTTCAGTGGCAACAACTAGATTTGACAAAGGCAGGAAAAGCTTTGTTAAACTTATGCTTTAGAATTACCTTGTCAATGAGGGAATATTTCAGAATAAGCATTCCCTAAGGGTGAATTATAAACCAATAGCTATTTGCCTTCCTGTGTCTTCAGAGGAAAACAGAAGATCTGCATAAACCTGAGATTAAGAAAACAAACTACAGGATAAATTAAATCACGTAGAAACCATTTCATTTTCAGATATTTAGTCTACACTGGCAGAACAATGTGACTCTTGGCATTTTTAAAAAGGTGTAGTCATATTCAAGCAGTAATCAAATGTAGAATTTGTATTTAAAAATTACAGTAGCATAAAAAACATAAGGGTTATTTGGTATCAGAAGTAAGACAAGGTAATAGCATAAGGGAAAATTAGCGTTAGATTTTGCTCCTAGTCCCAAATCTGTCGAGATTCTATTGGCTTCAGGAAAGTTTCCTTGGATGCACTGAGGAGCCACTTAAAGAAGGTAGAAGGTTTCCAGCTGAAATACTCAAGTACCCCAATTAGTATTAGTGTCAAAATTTTAGATGATCAGTTCTAAACATTTAGAAATTATTCAAACTTGCATACCTCTTTCTCTTTAAAGCAAGACAGCAAGACAACAATTTCCCACTCCTTCTGGTTAACATGAGTAGAATTGAGAAGCAATTTTCAACTGTCTTCCCACATGTCCCTATTTATAACTTTCAGCTCTGCTCTCCCTATCTCATGCCCTCTACCTCACTCATAATTAGTTAGAAGCAATTACTGGGAAATTGAACTGTTATACATGCTATATAGGTAGCTTGTTCTGCCTTTTTCACTTACAGGCACACAACTCTGCCTGTGTTCATAAAACTACTCAACAAGGAGTTATACTTAACTTTAAAGCATTGTTAAATCTGTGAAGAGACAAAAATAAAAAATTGAGACATGCATTTTGCAATACAGACAGTTGTTAACACTCTGAACTTGGAGCAATGAATCAACCTCATAGGACCCTCACTGCAGAAATCAAATGCTTGCCAGTGGTTTCCTAGAATACAATATAGAGTATTTCCAGATGTACACCAATAGGAAAAGAACCTGGAAATTTTTACAAGAGTTATATATCCCAAGAGTTAAAGTATGAGCCAAGGGTGTCCCATATTTCCCTTCCAGTGACATGTGATATACAGAGAAGGGGAATAGCTGTATTGCTTTTAAGAATTTTAATTCATGCTCATATGAGCTTACCCAGTTGGTATAATCCTTTCTGACCACAGGAGGCTGCATCAAATGGATGACTAAGAAGAAGAAAGAGGAAATGGAACAGTGGCCAGAAATAAGACACCCTGTGCGCGAACAATTTCAACAGTAGTTGAGAAGAACAGAGAAGATATTCACTGTGCTATTCATGGATGTTAGATAAAGTTATACAGCTGGTTTAAAAGGCCAAGGCCCTAATATCATATAAGCACTCAAGATAGAAGAGTTCTGGGGCAACCCAGGCTTTGCCCTGAGAAAGTATAAACAAAATAAGACAGGCCAAACAAAATATGGAAAAGAGGCAAACACAATGCCAAGAAAGTATCTGAGGTGATGAATGGTAAACTTAATGTTAATTCCATATTTCAAGTCTGTAGGTTTAACATAAATTACACAGGATGGAAAAAGAGCAAATGGTGGAATATATTCAGAACAAACAGCTAAGGCAAAAGAAATAAAATAATTAAGAGATCTCAGTCACTGAGAACTGATGAGAAAATAATTCAAAAGAAGCCAAAAATGCTCATAAGCAATAAAATCTTTCCCCTACACTTCAATTGTATCTGCCCATAGATACTAGAAGATAGTACTTAACCAAATTCCTGGACAAGGTGAAAATTCATACAGCACAAATGGTAAAGATCCTATTCATTTTTTAACACAAGGATAACAGTTACTTACCAATTATACAAAAGATCGAGGGTTCAACACTCAAACTACCTACTCAACTGAGGCATCAGAGCACATCATAGGACTAATACTGCTTACCAGAAACGACCCATTTTGTTTCTTAATCATAGGGCAGACATACTATGCTTCCCATATCTTTTCAGGAGCGTTGTATAAGAAAGCTGTGAAAAATATCCAGTAATGTAGAGGTGTAGCAGGTTTGACACAAAAAAGTCTTCCATCTGACCAGCCTCAAATTGTTTTGTGTCTTAGGTAAAGGCAAACAGAAGTTCTGAATTGCACTCTGTATTCAATTATAGTGTAAGAAAACCCTTTCAGATTACTTGTAGCCTTTGTTCAATTATAATGTAATCAAGATGTTTGCAGATTTGGAATACAATAAACAGTGAAGTAGAACACCAAAAAATTTCAAAGATTGTAAATATAAACCCATCATGCCCAGGAAGCTGGAAGAATACAGTATTACCACCAAATCATTAAAAATCATGTACTTATTCTCTCTTATGCATCACAAATATGCTTTTTGTCATCCCATTGCCTTAAGCTAATGCAATTTGAGTGTATGCTTTGCTTTTCAACGGAATTATTTTCCTCAAAGCAGACAAACAGGTGACAGTCTGTTGGTAGCCTTTATTCTAAAATTCCAGTCTCAAACTAAGGTCCTCATTTTAAATCTGCAGATCTTTCTTATTAAAAAAAACCCTCACTGCAACAGCCAGTTTCCTCTAGAAAGAGAACCAACCCTTAAAGAAACATTACATTACTAGTAGAGGTGGGTCCAAAGGGCAGAAGATCTCAAAAAAGGATACAAATACAGCCTTTGGCTGCACCTCCTTTCATTTCCAGTATTCCTCCATGATGCCTCCAATGAATGACACCTATTCTCTTCCTCTGGCTATCCCACTCCTTTCTAACCCCCTTCTCCCCATGTATTTGCAGAATACTCTGAATTATATGTATTTAATTTTCTCAGAAGATCAATAATTCTAATTTGCTCAGAAGATCCAAAACTTACTTCTCATTCCAGTCAATCAGGAAAAAGAAAGATCTTTTAACTGGTATATTTTTGCGTATCTTCACTTGACATATTGTCTTTCCAGCATAAGTTAGTGAACAAGAAAAAGAGAAAACTTTGTAGCTACAAAAACAGAAAAAGGAAAGGAAAAAATGATTAATTGCAATGTACCATGTAAATGCAATGCACAATAAATTTGGGGCTAAATATTCGGAACCTTGGGAAAATCTATCCTTACATGAAAAAGGAATTAAAGTAATAAATCCCGTATTAATGGGGATCTGCATGTGTTTACTTTGGCTTGAATGTTTTTTTTTTTATAGTCAGAGTTCAAGAAAAGAACTGAAGACACCTAGATTCTGTTCCATGTTTTTGTAGTTAAGACTAATTTGGTTTTCATTATTACAGTCAAAGGATGTTTGGACATTAGTTTTGAAGTGTTACAACTTGCTCATCATACAACTTCAGTCAACAGTTAATTTATTTATACTTTTCTGATCTGTAAAAAAAAGGTTAGTACTCAAGGGATCCTATACATTCATTGCAGCAGAAGCATTAAAGCCTTCTGTGTTGGCATTCTTCAAATACTTTACTAACTTCATTCACATGCATACTTAACCGACTACCTTCATAGTGTAACTTGGGTCTGGAACTATCTGTTAATTTCATATTCTTCTTATTGAAATTTTGTAAAATTTTAGCCAAACAGAGAGATTATTAACTAATGTTCTTAATTAGTCTTGCAACTTCCAGATCTTCCGGCCACTCTCAGCTTTAGACCACTTTGCATACAGGAATGATGAACAGACTTAAATTTGAACAGAAAATTTTAAGCACTTGCAGACTGAAAGTGTCTAGCTTTGTCTTAGTTACACAAATGATGTTTGATCTTTTCCAGAATAGCATCTTTTCTCAAGAGTATAAACATTACAAACAGTTGGAAAATAGTGCAGGAAATACTAGGTTTTAACACAATCAAATGATTAATCATTGCTGTTTAAACAGAAGTATTAATACACAATATACAGACGTGACTTGCATGTATCCTGACTTATACACTTCAGTTGCCTGAAGTCAAAAAGGTTGTTAAGAGTGCATGCTCTTCAACTTAGTTTAGATTTTGTAGAGCATTTTGCATAGGTAGTCTCACTGTGAATTCAAAGGCATGACTCTATAGCCTTGTCCCAAAAACCACTTCTTATCACCCAGATGCAGATAGGAATCTGCTTTTTGGGGGGCTGTAGAAAAAAATACAGCCAAACACCAAGCTAGCAACATCATGCAATTGGCAGCAAATAAGGCACATGTGATTGGGATTTACATCAGATAAACCAACAAACTGATAAAAGAAACAAAAAGGAATAAAATACAATAAACAAAGAAAAGTAATCAGTTTTGCAAAATTATTCTGCACTTGTAATGTCTGTACCTATCTTTTTCACAAGGACAGTAAGACAGGAATAAGAAATTGAGAGCATAAACATGAAAACTGACAAAAAGCCAATCCACAAAGGTGAACTTGAGATGGATTTGACAGGACACCAGCATGACTCTGTAAAACGTATGACAATGCATTCTCCCTTGCCCCAGATGATTAAAAGAAAGCCATTTATCACATAATGGTATGTGTAGAGAAAAAAACAACGAGTCAGACAGTGAGGGATGTCAAAATTCTAACACTCATAATACACATATATATGCAGGAATATATATTACAAATATATATTACGAATAGCACCAAGATCATGAAACATGACCTTCAGGAAAGGGAAAACGAGAGCCGTGACACAGCCAGCATGAATTCATGCAGTGCAGTAATAACAAGAGGGAGCATGCATGTGAATGAGGCTAGTAGAGTATTTGAGGAAAGCAGGTGTCCAAGCAGCAGTCCATGTTAAGAAGCCCATGCTAGCTATGAATACTGGAATGACTGGAAAGGGAAATTAAGGAGGAAGACAGATTCTTATTTCTACATACTTGAACACAGCATTCAAGTCATCAGTGGCCCTTAGGCCACATGTAATTTCACATTTTTCTGGTAAAATAAAATGCAGTGGGAATGGTATAACCATCTGAAAATCAGCATAGTGATCATAGTCCTGTATTTATTACCTTAAGTAATGAAAATTCTCTCAGATTGTTATTAAACTGATAGTTACATCTAATGCTGTACACTCTCTTGTTCGCTAATACACCCACTTCCTCAGCCTCTAACATTAATATCGGAGTATCACCAAAGCAACAGATGTAGTCTAGTATATGTGAAAAATACATGATCTAAGAGACAACACCTCTTCTTGTGAACACTTGCTGGATCTCCTCCTACCTGTTCACCCAGGCTTCTGGGATGTTATGGGCAGCATATACAGTGAAGCTGAGCTGGGAATCAAGGCTGACGTCTGCACATGAAGGGATTTTAGGTATGCTGGAAAGCTGGAAATTTGCATCAAAGCTGCTGCTGTAAATGTGGATGAGACAAGAGATGGCCATGGAGAGCTCAGTCAATGCAGCCTTTATTAATGCTGAGAGGAGAAAAGGAAATAAAGGTTAGCAATAGGTCATTTATAAAGAATCATATTTATCTTAAACCATCAGTTATAGCTCTGAAACCCTTCCTAATAAAATTCAATTAAAATGACATAACCTACCAACTGAAGCCAATTAGCCACCTGTGCTTCTCAAACTAGCCTTAGTTCATTTCTGGTGTGTCATTAACAATCTTTCACCACAGTGATTTCAAATTAAGGCATTTTCAAAGTAAGCATTTTAAACTACAGCAAATTAGCGTGCGCCTCAGATACTCCATTTTAGTGTGTTAAATTCTGTGCTGGAAGGATTTTTGTTATATAGGTATTTTGTCATTTCAGCAGCTAAGTAGCTATTTAGTTCAAGGGAACTGGCAATGATGCAGTAGAACAGAGAAAAGGCACTGGTTAAATTTTAAGACTATAAAGCTGTTGCAACTGTACTCAAACAAGTCATAAAATATATACAGTAGCACCCACAATCAGACATAGACGGCATTCACATGGTCATAGACTGGTGGTAACATTATGCAACAATGAACACTGAAATACATATCTGTATGGATATATGTGAAATGCAGGGTGTACCCTCATTTATATCACACTTTTACTTATTTTATTTCCTCTTGTTTCAACTCTGCAGTGCTCTTTTTCTGTAATTACTGGCTTTTATCCATCTTGCCACTCACTCTCTGTGTTTTTGGAACAGCTAGGAATTGCCTGGTCGCCAGCTTAAATTAAAATCCCCAGCCCTGGCAGTCTCCATCAAGTAAAGAAAGCTTGTACAAACACTCGTTTCTCAGGAAAGGGACAAGTCCAGAGAGGGAGTGTCAGAGTACATTGTATCATTCTAGGATCAGGATGATTTGTCTTCAAAGAGGACTACCCCAAATTCTCTTTTTCCTACACCTCTAACTCACCAATTTCACTATGATCAAGAACATACTCTCCTCCTGTTCCTGACACACTCTCTAAGCTTGTCTGGCCACTGTATGACGTAGCCACCTACCATCAATCTAATAGTGTCTACTAGAAAAAAAATAAAATTAATAAAAGAATCAATTATCAGGAACAGGAAGCCTGAGACTTACATTAGCTCATTATACTCAGGATAGGTGCAGGAATACTGCCTGACATCAGATACAGATACCACAATTCACTGGACTTAGCTGTGTCAGTTTCCTGACAGGTGTGTTTCCAAAAAAACGTATCCTGGGTCTGGAATTTTATTTCCCTTCTTTGACACCTTTTCCCTTAAAACTCAGAACTACTGAGTTACAAAATGCATTGCAAACAGTGCAAAGGAATTATTTCAGTCTCTGATCTATAACAGGCAAATTTTAAGTATGTAACAATGGAGATACACATAAAATTAAAACCATCTGACACATATTAGGGTTTGCTACTGGAAATACTGACAGCAAATTACTACACCCATGAGAGACTGGCTACAACCTTACAGTGTTGTAATCTCCTTCCACATTTCTTCCCTGTGAGGGTGCTGAGGTCCTGGCACAGTTTGCCCAGAGAAGTTGTGGCTGCCCCATCCCTGGCAGTGTTCAAGGCCAGGCTGGACAGGCGGCTTTGAGCAACCTGGTCAAGTGGAAGGTGTCCCTGCCCATGGCAGTGGCTTGGAACTAGGTGGCCTTTAAGGTCCCTTCCAACACAAACCATTGTATGAGTCTATAATATGAAAACTGAATCATTTTAGAGACTTAGCAGGGTTAAGAAAACTTGATCCTGTTACTCCCTGTGCCTACTTTGCTGTCTAGAACTTATTTTAATCATCTTTTTATCTATTCTCTTTAGTATTTTCTCCATTCATTATCCTCTACCATAATTGTTTTGAATAAGCCTTTTGTTTGAATTTCTCCCCCAGAATACCATTTCATTCTCACACCCAGTTCTCTTGGACATGTAATAACTTAGAACCTTCCATACAAAATGCTTAATTTGCACCAAATTCTTTTACAGTCCAAGGAATTACCTGTGGTCATATACACAAACACTTCTTAAGAGGTCTAGAAGAGCACATTAATGGACTATTATTTGAACCAGTATTTCTACTTTATCTGAAAAGTACTATGCTATTTACATGAAGGAAAAACAGCTACTTAGCAGACTCCCTGGCTCCAATTTGTTCAAAGTGGCAGACAGGTAGATGTAGTGTAATAGCAAACCTCTTATTTATGCAAATTGGCCTACTGAATCCAATGATTGCTGAGTGGAACCTGCTCAGAATTTTCTCCAAAAGAGACTGAAATGTCGTTCAGAATCTGTGTAAACTTCCCGCTGTGTGTTGAAACATACACTTTGGCCACAAGCGCTTTTTACACAATCTGTGCTCTAGGCTGCAAGCTAATGTTTCAAATTTTGGCTCCGAAACAAGAGAAAATGTACTATATTTCAGATAAGCCACAGAAAGGAATCCCACAAATTCGGCCTCAATTATTTATAACATGCTTCAGTGTACCAGTGGTGAGGTGAAAAAAAGTTTCCTGGGTGTCAGGGCCCTGCACACCCAACAAGGTATATGTGGCTAGATGAGGCAAGGTTAAGTCTTCACTTAGTTGTAAGACAAGGTCCACAAGACTCTCTGCTGAAGGGAGCCTGGAAACGTTGTTTGTTTGTTTATTTTGTTCCTCTACCTCTTAAAGTTCAACCTTTTCCTTGTGGGCTTGCAGGGTTTGTGCCTGACTGCAGAAATGGAGCTAGTTTGGAAGCAGGGCCTGGGAGAATACAAGCTGTTCCTTTCATTACAATGGCAAGGATGAAGACAGCAGTGGAGCAATCAGTTCAGCTGCCAGAAAAGGGAGACAAATGAAACTTCAGCATTATCAAATTATTAGGAGGTTCAGAATGAACGTATTCTCAGCAACAGAGTTCCTCAGGTGTAAGCAACCATCCAAGTATGACCTGGACTGCAGCTGCAGGATTTTTTACTATGTTTATTTTCTTAACTTGTCAGCTCTCATTTTAGAAACACTCTTTGGTTTCTGTGCCAGTGAGCCCTTCCCCATCCTTCCACCCCCATTCTCTTATTAAGCCCAGTAGCAATTAACTAAATTAGAGACAAACATCTTGGGTAGTCTGTAAATGTCCATTACTCACAAAAGCTGGTCAGCATCTTTTCACTGTACTTTTATGAGCTCCTGAATAGGATTTGGCATGCTGAAATTATATTGCCCATTCATGAAGCCAGCGAACTTTACTGCTTTTTATGATGCTTATGTTTAATAAATCTTAGATGATAAAGGACTACAGTGTTTCACTGATTTACATAGCACAGGCTAGGGACTTCCTACAGCAGATTCACATCTTCAGCTATGCCAGAGTTTATCTTCTAGAAAGGTGTCCCAGGCATAGCCAATATCTAGGAGACAATGAATACACCATAAAGTGAATTGTGACCAAGTTTAACAATCTCACAACTCAAACCTCCTGATTTATTTCTGGTGTGAAATTATTTGGTATCACCTTTTCACCAAAGGTGAGAAGAAATGAGACTTGCAGAAATTACATGAGACCAAGGGAAGTGAACTTTAACTACAGCTGCCAGATACGCTTATTTCTTACACATGTTCCTTGTACACAAAGCCTGAAGGAATAAATTTCACCCCTGGAGAGAAACAGAACAATCCACACCATTCCTGAAAGAATGACTATACCTGCAGGTACCTTCAAGACTTAGTAAGGAACATACTATTGTATTCCTTATAGAAAACCATTTATTTTATTTTTCTCAGTCCAGTATTACAATTCATGCATCATTTTAAGTGCAAGACCTTCCAACAGAGTAGGTACTTTGCTGTTATTGCACTTGCAGATGATGCAAATTCAATACATACTGAACATACCCTCTCTCACTCTGTTTGCACGTTTTCTCTGGGTAAAACATGACAAATATCTGGTTGAACAGAATTAGGAATGAAGTCCTAAGACCGTTTCAACAACTGTTTGGGAGAACAGGAGCCTTATGTTTTTCTTTCCCACTTTTTTTTCAGGGAGATGAAAACCAGCAAGATCCTAAATACAGTTTAGGTTATACACACACACACTCCCCCCCACAAAAATCCCCCTGAGATTTAGGTAAGGTGCTAAGCAGCATTAATTAGGACATTATTATACAATGGAAAAGGCAAAACATGAAAAGGTTGTAATGCAAATGCTGACCAGATGTGGTTTCCAAGACCAATATTTATCGTATTGTTTCTTCCTACTAATGGAAGAATCCTATGAATTATCCCTTGCAGGACACTTAAAAATCTCCTGCTGCCCTAGTATCAAAAACGTCTCTGCTGCCGTATGCTTTACGAGGCCTTGATAACTTCTAATATTTCTTTTTTGAGAACTACTGAGGTTGCAGTTATTTAAAAATTGGTCTTGGTTAAAAAATGCCGCTGGCTTTCAGAATGTTACAGGATGAGACACAGCAACAACTCAGAGGTAAAAAGCCATTCTCAGATGTGAAAGCAATGCAGAAGACATGGTGAAATGCAATCTCTAAAAAACTCTTCACATTTTTCCATACTCTGAAACAAAAAGTGTTTTTTTCCAAAACAAAACCATAATGGCTTTGTGCTAGGAAAAGAAATAAGTGGAGTTTTCCATTTTATATACAAAAACCTTCAAAAAGCCTTCCATTATTTCCCCTTACCTTTTTTTTTTTTTTTTCCTCTAAGCTCTCTGTGGTGGATATTCTTATGATCAGGTCTAGAAGCAACTATCAAATTGCAAGCACAATTAGTGAACCTTTACAGCCTTAAATCTAATGTTGACTTCATTAAATGTATCATCATCAAGGTATCGGATTTCTGTGTTCACTCAAAAAGATAGTAAGTCCAGCAATTCAGCTGGACCAGGCTGCTGATTCATTAACGTCAGTTTGTGGTGCATTGTAGACTTTCTGGGATGGGTCCCAGAGAACTATGGATCCAATTCCAGAAGCTGATTATGTCTGATCCAGTGAAATCCCTGCCTGAAGTAGCAAGGTTGTAGACATTGTATAAACATTAATTCATCAGCTTTTGAGAAACATGCATGGACTCAGTTTTGTATCCGCTTGCAGCCTGTCTTTTCACACCCTGGCTTGAAGCAGATTCCAAGGCTAAATCTTTATTAACGTGAATAATCTTATTATTTTCTGGGAACAGTTGATGATGCAGAAAGGTGTTAATGTCTAGAAATGCCCACTGTTCCTCACATTTAAAAAGAAATAAAAACATCCTTTGAGTACTACAATATTAGTATAATCTTCTAAGGACTTCATACAGAGGAAAAGTACATGATCCAGACTTAGCCATAAATGGATAAGCAGTGTTCTATTTGCAGCAATGGAATAATTTGGTCTACAGAGGTAAAATTCAACAGTTACTGCAACACTAAATCAAGGCTAGATATTTTGAATACAGTCTTTGACTTGCTTAGGCCATGGTGAATGACTAATATTAAACCTCTGATAATCTGTTATTAAAAAGAAAGATCAAGGCAGCTTACAAACAGGTTATTAAGTAAGGCTTTAATTTTAATAGTATTCTTTTTCTCTTTTATGGTAGAGAAGCTACAATGAAGAAAACCAAAACTCTTTTATGATACTCAGGATAATAGCTATCACCTGGGGGAGGAAGGAGAGAGGAAAAATAAATTATTAGCTGGAGTAATTGATTGCTGTTCTTGCCAGTCAAATTCGATCCTGTTTTCTTCAAGATAAACACAAGAGACAGAAAAGAACAGTACAAAAGGGAAATACAGTCTGTCTCCTCCTTGGCTGTCAATGCTGACTTCATTTGCAACTGTGCTGCTAGAGAAAGCAAAGCACATGGTTTTTAGCTTCCCAGAGACCTGGAAAAATTACCAGCACTGAGCTAAGTTAGCGATTTTACCTTACTTTTTGAGTCTCTGGCCTGCAAAGTTTTGCATGCCTGCAGTTATAGTCAGGTAACCATACTGAAGTACACCTCTTGAGGATTAGGCCTAGGTTCCAGCAGATCAGATTTAGTCATTACTCTCATGCATTTATTTTATCAGACATGCCCTTAACATCAGCTTTGATATGATAGCTAGACTTATTAGCCTAACTTTCAATATTTTGCTTGCTTTTAGAAGCTTAATAGGTGCAAATATAAGGAATGTAGTATGTTAAAACACACATGAAATGTATCATCAATGCACATGAGAGGTCAAATTGGATTTTGGTTACCTTGGACAACTTTGAATGTAGGCTTCCCCACAGAAACACTGACGGCCTGGCAAGTTCTGACTTGCAATCAATAAGTTGAACAGTCTAACATTACATTACCAAAAGGATTCTGCCATTGTTATGAAATTAGGGTGTGCCAAGAACAAACAGAAGCATCACACTTCACAGCTGAAGTTTTCCTGTCATAAGTAGATAGGTAAAGAGTAGAGAGGTAAAACATCAGATTCCTTTACTGTTATTCAATAACTCAGATATTCATTGAGGAAACTTCTGATGCAATCAAGTCCAAGTCTGGAAATCTCTTTAAATAGAGGAATGTTTTAGATCCTTTCCAGACAGGTTATCTGAACACTGTGCAGGTGAACATGTTTCTAAGGTAGATGTTGATTAGTAACTATTAATTCTTTTCATCTTCAACAACTAGTTATCCTTAAGAGTGTTAAAAAAAATTTCATGGGATAAATTACTATATCCAAGGGAGAAGAATCCTACAAACTGTATTTACTTTTCTCCTCCCTTCTGCACCTGCATGTTCTCCCTCAACTACCCCCAGCCTTCCAGCTGCTTAGTTTTTCCTGGCAGCTTACAAATATAATTGCGGCTTCTCTGGTTGCTGTTCATGAAGTTGAATAATGGTGAAACAACAAGCCTGGCATTTGGAATCCTGCATTTCAACCACCTCTGTGTTTGAGACTACTGCAGTCTTTGTGGTTGGTTCACCTTTTTGCCTCTCTGAGTACACTGCAATCAACAAAAGAAGACAAATAAAAAAGAGGGGGGAAGAAAAGTATCTCAGAAGCCACTTTTTTCCTCAAACAAAACGGAGAGACACCACCTTTCCAAAGCACATCCCAGACACCTCAATGTTCAGATGGAAGGCCCTTTGAAAACATTTGCATAGCACCCCCAGCTGCCTGTCACAAGCCAGCTACAGAGGGGTAGAGCAAGACCCATGCATCAGTGTGGCCATCCCTGGAAGGAACCCAACACAGACATCCACGACAGAACAGTCTCCTGCACACCCATCAGCCTGCAAGGTGCGCCGCAGTAACGCTAACAGTACTGGACATTGACCAATGAGTCTAAGCCAGTTTTAACTGAGGAATTAAGTACGGCAGCATCTATTATTTTGTCCATTACTGTTAAACTACTTATAACAGTGTATCACTTAACACACTCTTTACACAAAGGAAGCAAAGAACTAAAGAATAAGGAGGGAGGAATGAAAGTTATTGGAGCTGAGTAGGAAAGCCATACACAAAAATAATTTCTTTAGGCTTTCATGAAGTTCCTTATTTTCCCCTTTCTCTGCAGAAAAAGTTGTTACTGAGAACAACTTCTATGACCACCACTAACTGCAATCAGTTCTTTCACTATACTACTTGTCTACTTGTTCTCCATATTTGAATCTCCAGATTAGTTTTAGGAAATGCTACGTTTCATTTCCATTTTTAGATCACTTAAAATTTAACTTGTCATAATTACGTTATAATACAACTAAATTTGTAAACATCTACAATATGGCAACTATAGCAAGTCACTAATACAAACAAACAACACAAGCAAAATGTATTTTCTGATGGTACATCTTGAACTAACATATTTTAAAAATAACACTTTACCTTTTTCTGTTTTTTCCACACTTTGAAGTGAATCCTACAAAGACAAAACCCAAGGGGAAAAGCAATTAGTTACTTCAGAAAAGACCGAATAGCAGTTACATTAGTTTTAGTGGTACTCATGGAAAATAAGGTGACAAAGGGGAAGGATATATCCTAATGGTATGATTACAGAAGACATGGCTGGGATTCAGAATACCAGGACCTGCTTTTTCTAGCTTTTCCAGCTGCTTCCTCTACCATCTCAGATAAGTCACTCAGGACCCCATTTCTGATAGTATTTAGGCATGTCAGGATACAAAGAAGCACTTTTCAACATCTGAGGTGCATACGTTTTCAGTCTCACACTGGTATGACAGAGATAAGAATACCCTCTCCATCCCTTTACATACCTTCCATATTCAGACACAACCACACTGAGCAGGCAGAGCCCCAGCATCCTTTCAAAGCTGAAGTGGCCTACATTTCACCTATGCTCCTGTGCCAAATCAGCAAAAATAACTATGCTCCATAAAAACCTTTGAGCAGGCAGCTAACTAGAGATGGCTACAGGAAATATTAGGTGCAGGGTTTTAGAAGGTGTTTATACCTTGGTGCCTAAACACACCTCTTGATGCCTAACATTAATTCAGCATATGGATTCCCACTTCATATCCCACTGCTGTCAGCAAGAACTGCTGGGTGCTTATGACTGTTGAAAGGTCAGGCCAGTTGCTTAGACTGAACTGACCAGCCTAATTAAACTTCTTTTTTTCTTGTTTTTAAAAAGCTGCCATGTTAAATCCCCAAGTACAATAACTGCCATCAATCAGACCTTGCTCCAGGCTTCTCAGACACTGGGCAAATTTACATGCTGCTACACTGCCTGTGCCTCCCCATCCACACAGGAAAGAACGTCATGTAGGTAGCTTGGAGCATCTACTGGCAGGATGGGTGGCACCTGCATCCCTGGGGCAAAGGTGGGACCCAGCCTCTGTAAAAAGGGCAAAAGCAGGCAATCAGCTTCCCTGGCTGCTCAGGCTGCCCTGTCTTTGCCTGGCTCTGACATCACACTCACATGTGCCAAGGTGACACAGAAATAAGTTACTGAGGTGCAAATCTTGACCAGAGAGACTGTCAAGTTAATTCTGGTTTTCAGTATCTCCTGTGGCTTACACTGATTGAGCCACTGTCCCTGTAAGGTTTGTTATCCTTTACAGTCACTAATCCCTTTGCAGCAGGTAGAGAATGCTTCATGTGACTGCATAGGTATTCAGCATGATGCTTCTTAAAATTACAGTGCACGCAGAGGTGACATAAGAAGTACAATGCTAGATGTACATTTTCCCTCCAGTACCCAGCTTGGAGCTGCCAGCATTTGTCTGGGAAACGTAAAGAAAAGTCAAATGCTTACTTGAGGGGGAAAAAGCAACATCCATGCCAAGAAATATGTTTTCACAATCCTTATAATGCTGTGAGACAAATGGGAAAGGAGACCTTTGTTCAATTCTCTCAAATTCTGGAAAGTAAACAACCTTTTGGAACAGTGCTTATAATTTCAACATAGTGTAGCCCATTTAATATATAGTGGATTAGTGCCTGTTCTGGCAGGATTTGATCTCCTAGGACTTTCTGTGAGCTGCTGTAAGAAAGGAAGGGATAAAAAAAAAAAAACACGAAAGAAATGAAAAACATTATTGCACAAGCAGGCCCAGAATTTCCCCTGAACAGATTTTAAAATCCCAGGGTTAGCTTGCTTAGAGTCTGAATTAATCACATTTATAAAGAGATGCAATCAGTTAAGAAGACAGTATCACTGGTGCCCGGTTTCTTTCATCATCTTTTAACCATGTTACAGAAATGTACAATACTGGAACTGAAAAGGCAGTGAGGAGGTAATAGGTACAGTTTAATTAAACACAGAAGACTGGAAGTAAGTTTCCCTGGTTTTCTTTTTTCTTTCCTCATAAAAGCAGAATTAAATAAAAACACATTGAGATTTTTTTAAATTATGTGAGCATACATGTACAGATATGTATACACAAACATATTCTGGCACTCTATGCAATTTACATTGGAGGGAGTAAGCAGCAGTTTCCTTGAGGCATTATGTGCACATGGAGCTTGCCAAATGGATGCATTAAAAGGTATTCCACACAAAACCACACCACACAGTACACTAAAGCATCAGGAAACCATGGTAAAAAAGCAATTAGAACTTTTTTTTCTGGCATTTTTCTCGTACCTGATGCAAAACACTGCAGCCACTTGAGATGTAATGTACCCTCAAACAATTCATTCACTTGTGGTGCAAGTTACCTGCTTGAATGAAAAAAGCCTCTCTTCTGCCTAACAGAAAGTCTTGAGGTACTATGCTGTTGAACATAACAGAAACTATTCAAGCAGACTGACAAGATACGCTAATATTGTGGGATTTAATAATTTTGTCAGCACCCAGAATTCACATAAAATTCCCCTACACTTCAAGTATGAGTTGAACTCAAAAAAGGTTTGGAGAAACAGGTACTCCATCAAACACCCAACTGCTGAGTACTAATTTTGGCTACATATGTTGACACAGACACAAGAGTTTATCTTTGTATAAATATTGATAAATGAAATCTGATTTGCTGTATTCATATACTATTCTGTAGTTAAGGCAGTTACATATAATGTTTAACCTCTATTTTCATAAAATGAAACAGCACTTGAGTTACAGAACTTGAAGAAATATATTTTTCTGCTTTTATGTTATGGCTTAGTTGCTGGTGACAAAAATGAAGCTCTTTTCAAAATCAAACCCGACTTTCTTCTAGATTGCTGAAGTCTAATCAACTGTCCTAGCACTTGTTTCTCAAAGGAGTAAAAACCAAGAAGCAGCAGCCACAGGGTTTGCTAATGCAGGAACAGTTGGAATTTATTTTTTTTTAATATATATATATATATTTTAAAAAGGGAAAAATATATTAAAAAAGGGAAAATATATTTAAAAAAATAAATATAAAAATATATATACGCACACATATATATAAATATATATATACACACACACATTTTTTTTCCCTTCTCCATTTGTTTGAAGTCAGTTGTTAGCTAGAGATTCACCAAGGAGAAAGTAAGGAGGATAGGAGTGTCACTCAAGGTCACAGACAGCCTTTAGTGGAAGGCTTCAAGTAACAGACAACCAGTTCAGCTAACCAAGCCTGAAAAGAAATGTTAAGAGAAATAAACCTCGACACCTCAATAACTTAAAAACTCTGAAAAATAAGTAACAATCCAGTCACTCAGTAGTCTCCAAGAGAAATGTGGAGCAGCTTCTTATGTGACTATTAGGACAGAAAAATATTTTAAGACTAGCGATAAAATATTCAATCAGGGCAGACACTTTTTAACATTCAGAAGAGGATACTCAAGAACAGTATCATTTTGCTCATTACAGATGAGCAAACACCATCATTATCATCACCACTTATATTTTTAGCCTCTGAAAATTACAGCCAGGACAGACACTCTACTGTGCTGGAGACTCTACATACAGATAAGGAGATGCATTCCTTGCTCTGCAGGGCTGATAATTTAAATATCAGGAAAAGGAAACTGTACTTCCTCTGTGGAAGGAAGTACATGGCAGTCGGTTCAGCAAAACGTGTATATGCTGGAGACTATACAGTGGAGCTGGAAATTGGACACATGCTGAAGAATAAGCAATGGAAAGCTGGAAACACTTAGGGAAGAGCATTTTGCTGGTTGGTTTGTTTTTATAACAGGATGGATCAGCTCACAATTCAATTTCTGGCTTATTACTAATCATTTCATATCTTGTATGACAGTGTATACTTGTATAACAGTGACTCAGAACAAGCAGAATCAAATGTGAACATCAACAGAAACCTTAGACTCAAAAAAGATGACCCGTACTCTTTGGGTTTTATCCCATTATCTTATTCTTCATGGCATGACATGGGATTTTCCAGTTGGTCAGGGTAGGCCACACTAATAAGAACTGATCTGTTTCTCTGCTGGAATTCAGAGATAATGCAGCTGAAAATGGACTCTGGGATACTCAGTAATTATAAGTCAGCCCTATGAGGCAGTTTACATGTTGGGTTCAGAGAACTGACAGGAAGACTCAAAGAGAAAATACACTAAATTTTTCTGAACTCCCAAAGAAATCTTTTAACAAATTAATACCAACATATTTCTTTTGCTCTAATTCCTTCCTAAAGGAGAACATGTTCTATTACTGTCTTCTGTATATTTTTATTAGACCAAGCTCTATTTATCTCTTAAGAAAGATTCTGGGTTGACAAAATACTTTTCTCAAGGGGAAAATACTGATTGGCCTAACGCCTCTCACGACAGCCTGGGGTTTAACTGAAAAGCAGCTCATGTGAATCCTTTGTTACTTCTTTTATCTCTTCCTCTACTGTATGTGCCTTCTAATATACAGGAATAACTTTTCTTAAATGGAGATATTTCCATTTAAATCAACAACATGCCAGATAAAATGCATGCTCGCACAGACCCATTTCTGCTGGAATTTACCCAGAACAGTGACTTATAAAAATTGATGCTGAAGTGGACATGAAAAGATTGAGGATGCTATAGCAACAAGATTTACAGTGAGTCATGACCTAGAAGGGAAGCAAGAGAAGGCACTTATGTGAATCAGCTGGTCAGCTCTGAGCAACAATAACAACAAAACCTTAGAGCTATGTTGTTTCTTGCATCTTGGTCCTTAACAATACTTGCCAAAATTCAGACAGACAGCACACATATAACTAATTCCAGAAGGTCACAGCTGGTTCTGCCCAGGGCCATGCAGCAATGTCTGCTCCGTGATCTCTAGTGTCCTCTGTTTCAGAAACATGGTACAGGGATTTACTTACAACCCAGACTTGCAGAGACCTACACTGATGTTATAGAGCTTATCTGCTTCGGTCCTGTACTTTACTTAAGTTGGAAACTATTACCCTAACCCTCCCACCTGAAAGAGGAATAAACAGAGACTAAGAATACAAATATTTAAGAAAAAAAGTTTTCTGAGCACCAGTGGAGCCTCTTCAACTAACATAGTTTCAGGCTTTTTGTGAGTCTTTTCACCTCTTAGAAATAATTTTGCCCCTGTAAGATGAGTATTTGAGGGTCTGAACCTGTCAAGAGTAAGTTTATATGGATGACAATATATAATTGGTTTGCCACATATCACCCCTACAACACGAGAAATGTTACAAAAACAATTATGCTAGCTTTCCTCAGTCTTACATTTGGGACCTCAAACAGCGTATCAGGCAGAACAAATTAAATCCCACTTTTCTAGCTAAACATGTTTCTAATCAGCACTCACGAGTTACCTCAGTTAACACTATTTATCCCATTGTTTACTTTCTTGTCAGAAGTGTTCTTACACATATTAAAGCAAACAGCTAAAAAAAAATCCAATAAACATCCCAAAACCTAACAACCTAACAAAACAACTCAATAAAGAATACAAGTTTTATAAGTAGGTAACTGAGAAAGCAACCACCTTACCTAGCTTGGCATGCTTTTCTAAACAATATTTGGTGTGTGAGAATGAAAAGACAGAGGCCATATAAGAAATAAAAAAATTCCTTAGTAAATTATTGAACATTTTAGAAAAGAATGAAGACAGAATTTCATTAGGATGGGAAAGAATTATCATGAGTTAAGGTTACACCAGACTAAATGCAAGTGATTAATGGCTTGATTTTCAAATCTGCTGAGCACCTGTATTTCCAAGATGCTGATTTCAGAAGAATTTTTGGGTGTTCATAACTTCTGTAAATCAGGTCAACGTGACTTGTTCAAGGTCATACCAAAGTGGCTGTTGACAAAACTGAGAACAGATACCGCCCTCAAAGTGACAGTTCATGACTATACAGAAACCCCTGAAAAATCCACCTCAGTGTTTTAAGGGCGAGTATTCCAGCTAAAATAAGGACTATATGATGCTGGTCCTTCTTTACACAAATAGCAGAGCATTTTTATCTGAAAAACTTGTAACTTATATGACATTTCTAGAAGCCTTTTTTATTGTTAACAACCTATGCTAAATTTATGAATAGAATACTTTGAAATTGCATGATTTGGTAAACAGGTGCTGTGGCAAAGCAGAGATTTGTGTATTTTGTTGGACTAAAAAAGAACAACCAAAGGAGCATTTCAGTTAAAGTGAAACACAGCAGAAGTCCTCTATTGCTCCTCTGTCACACATCTTACTTGATAGGGCCTTTACCTAATGCTTGTCAGAGGGGAAATAAATGTGTGCACACAGTAAGAAGTAAGAAGGAAAATTCACACAGTAAGACAGTAGAATGGCTTTGATCAATCATAAAATTAGTGATACCCATTCGAGGTCCAGTTTTAAAGAGAAAAATAAGACATCAGCTTGCAGCTTTTACCTGTGCTTTCACCAACAGCACTGCACGGAGTTTCTTGACTGCATCAGTAATGTCTTTGGTTTCCACAAAACAGAGGACACTGCAGATAGCTTTAGCTACTTCAATCACATTATCAACTTTATGCTGCTGACGACAAACAAAAGTGGGGTGGAGGGGGAGAAGGCACACAGTAGACACATACCATTTATCAGAAACACCTTAGTGCAAAGTTCATGCCAGTGAGCATGCAAAAAATTGTATCTGCTCATCCAAAACTCAAACACACCAGGCATTAGTCTGGCTATACTGAAATCGCTAATGACCTAAGGATAGCATAGTTTTCATTAAAGTCCAATTATCTGCCACAAAATGCGCCTTGTTGAAAACTGACAAATTTGATATTTAAAACTGATTTTGAGGCAAAACTTCAATTTGTTCTAACTTCATAAGCGTAGAAGCCCTGAAAAAGCAAACTTCTGAGGACACATGAACCTAAATGATTCACAAACTGACTGTGGTTTTTATGATACTGTGCTGTGAATTTATCCCCAATATTGTCTCCTACCCGTCTCTGTGAGAGCTGGCAAACAGCCATGTTCCTCCTAAAAATAGTGACTCTGTGGGAGATTGCATAATCTGACACCTGTGGATTGAGTACTTCTGCAACTAGCTTTTCTGCAAAATGTATATATAGTTCAAATTATTAAATCTTATTGATAATAAATTTAGATATTTAAATATTACCATATGAAAAAAACCCTCTAGATGAATAATCTCAGAAATACTTTGGAGGATTCAAAAAGAAAAATTTGGATTCCAAAGGAAGGAAAATGCAATCTTCAAATATCAAGGACTCTATGTTCAGAAAAATTAATAAATAAATTAAAATTTGTATGTTTCCTGTATGGTTATATCACTTCATTAAACCTTAAAATGCATTCACTGAACATGTAGAAACTCTTCTATAAATATTTTCCATGTTTCTGTACTGATAAATGTTCCTTTTAGCGTGTTACAGCATGTCTACTGATAAAACCATTTCTGTAACTTATCTATTTCATGCCTGAAAAAGAAAAGCTGCACCAAGATGAGCTTTCTATTTTCAAGCTTAAGGTCTATATGCAGGCTGTACTGAGAAGGTTACCACCTATCATTAATATAAATAAATACAAAAATGTATTGAGGTTACTAATTCCACATTATCTGCCCTGAGGAGAACTAAAGTGGGAATGAATTACATAAAATATTCTGAAATATTTTAAATATAGGTTGTTAGGTTTTTTTTTAGTAATTAAAGACAGCAACACTTTTTCGTACTGGAGATTCTAAAGAGAAAATGGTTCTGGTAATCTCTTGAGAATTTCAGAGCCTTCTTTGCTCTGAAGTTGATTCACCATTCTGACAGTTTACAGGAAGTCCATTTCCTTTTTTTTCCTATTTCTTTCCTTCCACTTAAGATTTTTAAATTGAACTCCTGCTGGATTTATTCTCTATACACACACACATTGCCAGTAGAAGTAGAAACCTGTAAAAATGGCATGGCTTTGCTTACCATGTATAACACTGACAAAACCAAAGCATTATACATGCTGTTTTATTCCGTAGTTGTTGAAAAAATGCATATATATGCACATATACCTACAATATTTTTAATTACTGTATATAGTTTTAAATCATAAATTAAGTATATTATATATATTTATTAAATTATAAATTAAGTATAATTCTAATTTAGCATTTTTCGCCTTCACAAGTAGCTATGGTTTATTAAACCAAAGGATTTTATGTCTATAAAGACATGTTCATGCAGACAAATTTCTGAGCAGCACATGAAGCAATAGACATACACAGGAGTAATTCTTAAGTAGAGAAACAGCTCTACTGCCAGACAGGAAAAACAAAGAAACAAACCCATGCCAGAACAACCAACCAAACAAAAATTCCAAAAACCAACCCAAAAAAACCCAAACAACCCAACCAAAACACAAACCAAAAAACCCCTCCCAGCACTTTATATATTCTTGTACTTACATATATGTGCTGTTCTACAAAGACAGTCGGATATCTTGAGGAATGTACTTCTTTCTGTAAAATATACTATTCCATTTAGAGATAAATTACCAAGGTACTTAATATTTTATAGAAGCTACTATACCATAGATTTGGTTTATATGGCAGCTGCTTCTAAGAAGAAGTAACGGCTTTGCAGATCAGGAAGAGTAAACGTGCAAAAAAAATTCTGTAATAGTGTATACTACGAATTTCTCTTTTTGGATATTATCATATAAAGAGTTTTCCATATGTAGACATATGATATTGATTTTTTTTTATTTTTGCCCCAAAGAATGAAAGACAGAGATTCGTTCCTAACAGAAGTTTTACAGTTCTGAAAGTACCAAAGAATTATAGTCAACATCTTGTATATGTTTTTTTTCCCTCCACGTATTTAAATACCAACAGAACCTTTGAAGGATATTTTGGTGTTTAAATTATTTAGACGATTAAAAAATGCTATTTCATTCTAGAACTTCTGCACGCTGTATTAAAAATTTACAAAGTTTTCTCTCTACATTAATAGTACATTCTGAACAGAGTTAAAATGAAGTGCAGGCCAACTGATTATCAGGGCAATAAAAATGGCTGGTTCTCTGGCTGCACACACTCCCTGGGAACACTCTACATTTCAACCACAGCAACACCAATCCCACCCTCACCATGTGCCAAGCAGCCTGGTTTGGTTTTTTTTTTCTTTTTAATTTTCATGTTATACAGGAATTATCCAAAATAAAATTTTTCCATTTAGTGATCATTACTAATGATAGTGGGCTTGGCACATAAGTCAGAAGAACTGGTTTCTCCAAGGCTTTTCGACAGACATCCTTGAACAAGTAAATTTGGAAATGGGTAGATAAATGTGCAAAAAAAAAAAAAAAGATTTTTATTTTTTTTTAACTGATAATCTCAAGGTCTGATTACAACTGAAGTTCTATCTGAGTACAGAACTTAAGCAGATATGTGTGCATTTAATATAGTATATGTGAGTAACTCCCAGTGGTTTAAAGTTCAGAGTGTGCTAAGTGTGGACTGTGGTGAATCAGACAGGTAACAACCCTTACAGTGATGGGAGTGCTGGCTTTGCAAATCAACGTAATTATTCCTGTGTAACCCTGGGATAAGGAACAACTATAAAGATCCCAAATTTAAATTTTCTAAAGGAATCTAATAACGCATTAATGTTCAAATAACAAATCAAGGATTCTCAACTTTTGCTTTCTTTAGTCATGTATTTATGACCAAAAGGCATTACATTACAGCTTCTGTTGTTTTTTCAAGCCACTTATTAAGGCAAAGTACTAACACTAGTTTTAATTATTATAGGTTTGAAAAAGCTCCATACACTGTGACACCTCTGAAAACATCTGCATGGTGATCTGACCTACATTATTAACTTGCAATACTACTCTTTAAAGCAGTTCACACGAACTTATACTGAGTTTGCCTGAGTAGACAAGACACTGTTAAAAAAAACCCTGAACTACTGAGAAATTAAGCTCTAGAGTAACACACACATATTTGCTGCATAGCATGAATATTTGAAAAATGTCCTGTCTTCCCTTTATAAAAACTTAATGATCTCAAGTAATTGCTTACTCAAGGTAAAAATCTTTAGCAAAACCAAATTTAAGAGGGCTTCATTATAGGTCTGAGGAATATCTACAAAGCATCATCTACAGAGAGTGGGTTGTAATGCCTCATTAATGTTGAGATTATAGCTTTCTTTGAATTTGGAATCTTCTTACTTTAGGCCCTAAAGTTTCAAGTGAATGTGAGTAACTACACTGAGGGGTGTGCTTCAGTAAAGAAATATAAATGCTCATTTGAGCTCGGGGACCTCAGTTTTCCAAATGGTTATGACTGTATCACATGCTACACATTAAATAGTCCTCTTTGAGAAGTTGCTTAAAAATGAAAAAGTCAGTGAATACCTACACAGTAGGTAGGCACAGTTCAACAGCTTTTAAATTTGTATGCATTTTGCAGAAGAAAAGTGCCAAAGATTTATATGAAAACGTAGAGAATTTTTATCTACATATACTTATTTACATAGCTATTGATATATATTTATGTATTCATGTATGTACATTATGTACAAATCTGTATGTATATAGGCATATATTTATGCATATATGTATACATACTTGTATGTACGTGTATGTTTTCTGAGTATTCAAAATAGAATAGAACAAGAATAGCCAGAAAGATTAAAATCTGGACTTGAACTCATGTGACAGATTTCTGAAACAGAGTAAGAAATGTATGTCTTAACTTATATTTCAAAGAAATACATTTTTCAGCACAGTAAGTTGTAACTCTGGAAGGGAAACACTGGAATATCTCCACACTACATCAGTATTCTTTGATTTTACTAATGTCCTTCATTTTGTTTCCAGTTCCAAACCCTAGAAAGTCAGTTAGCATGGCAATCTGAAACTCAGATCAAATAGCCATTTGGTTTCTTGAAGCTGTCATTCAAATACTCTTTTGTCCTTTAAGACATTTGTTCTTACAACATTAGCAGAGATGATTTTCTAAGAGATTTTTCCTTCAAAAATGTAAACACTCAATTAGCAGCTCACTACATCCAAATAAAGTCTTACGAGTTTTGCTGCCAAAACCTAATCCTGCAGACTACTGCATTCTTCAGTGTAGAATAGAATCACAGAAGCATAGAATCACAGAATAGCTAGGGTTGGAAAGGACCTTAAGATCATCAAGTTCCAAACCCCCTTTTCCTTTTTCCAGTCGTCAGGAACTTCACCTGACTGCCATGATTTCTCAAATATGATGGCCAGCGGCTTAGCAACTTCATTCGCCAGCTCCTTCAGGACCCGCGGATGGATTTCATCAGGACCCATGGATTTGTGCACGTTCAGATTTTTAAGATGGTCTCGAACCAGTTCCTCTCCTACAGTGGGCCCAAGGTCTCCATTCTCACAGTCCCTGCGTCTGCCTTCCAAGACTTGGGTGGTGCGGTCAGAGCCTTTGCTAGAGAAGACCGAGGCAAAGAAGTCATTCAGAACCTCAGCCTTCTCCAAATCCTGTGTAGCTAGTTCACCTGAGAGCTTCCTGAGGGGGCCTACATTCTCCCTAATCTGTTTTTTATTTGCTATGTACCTGTAGAATCCCTTCCTGTTATCCTTAATATCCCTAGCCAAGTTTAATTCTAACTGGGCCTTAGCTTTCCTAATCTGGTCTCTAGCTTCCCAGACAATAACCCTGTACTCTTCCCAGGCCGCCTGTCCTTGCTTCCACTTTCTATAAAGCTCTTTTTTCATCTGAATTTTCCTCAGGAGCTCCTTATCCATCCAAGGAGGTCTCCTGGCCCTCCTGCTGCACTTCCTTCTAGTTGGGATGCAACACTCCTGAGCTTGTAGCAGATGATCCTTGAAGACCAACCAAGAGTCTTGAGCCCCCCTGCCCTCTAGGGCTATATCCCATGGAACCTTACTAAGCAGGTTCCTGAAGAGACCAAAGTCTGCTATCTTGAAGTCTAGGGCAGTGAGCTTGCTGCACACTCTTCTCACTGTCCTAAGGATCTCAAATTCAACCATCTCGTGGTTGCTGCATCCAAGGCTGCCCTGCAGTGCCACATTTCCAATGAGCCCTTCCCTGTTGGTGAGCACAAGGTCAAGCATGGCACCTCTCCTTGTCGGTTCCTCTATTACTTGCAGAAGGAAGTTGTCTTCCACACAATCGAGGAACCTCCTGCATTGCTTGTGCTGGGCCATACCATCATTCCAACAGATGTCAGGGTGGTTGAAGTCACCCATGAGAACGAGGGCCTGTGAGCGTGAGGCTTTTCCTATCTGCCTATGGAGTGCTTCATCTGCAGATTCCTCTTGATCAGGTGGTCTATAACATATTCCCACAGTAATGTCTCTCATCGTTGTTTTCCCTTTAACCCTGATCCACAAGCTGTCTGTTACCTGCTCACCCATCCCCAGGCAGAGTTCCATACTCTCCAGCCTATCCCTAACATAAAGGGCAACTCCCCCTCCACGCCTGCCAGGCCTATCTTTTCTAAAGAGTCTGTAACCTTCCATGCCAACACTCCAGTCATAGGAGCCATCTCACAATGTTTCTGTGATGCCTATTATATCATACCCCCGTAGACGAGCACACATCTCTAATTCCTCTTGTTTGTTCCCCATGCTATGGGCATTTGTATAGAGGCATCTGAGCAGAGCTCCAAATGAAGCTGGCTCATCGGCTGGAGCAGCCGGAATATCTCTGCATTGGTCCAAGCATTTATTATAGGTGCTGGCAACTGACTGGGAGTGTTGGGATGGAATGATGCCACCCTCCCCCAGCACATCTAGTTTAAAGCCTCCTTAACCAGTCTGGCAAGCCTCCTACCAAAACTGCCCTTCCCCTTCTTTATCGGACCAGCTCCACCAGCCCCCGCTAGACCTGGCCTACAAACTTGGGTCCCATGTTCAAGACACCCAAACCCCTGACTGTGACACCACCCTTTTAATCATTCATTAACCTGGCTAATCCTCCTAGTTTTTTTCAATTCCTCCCCTGTATCCTGGAGAATAGATGAGAAGACAATCTGAGCTCCAGAGCCCTTAACCACCTCTCCCAGGGCTCCTTCTTTATGCTCCCCAGGCTACTGCTATCTATATCCCTAGCACCCACATGTATCACTAGAAGTGGGTAATAGTCCATGGGGCTTACCAGAGCAGGCAGCCTCTCTGCCACATCCCTGATCCGTGCCCCTGGTAGGCAACACACCTCCCTTGAGACCAGGTCAGGCCGACAGACGAGTGCTTCTGTGCCTTTCAAAGTAGAATCCCCTACCACTACGACCCGCCGCTTTTTCCTGGCAGCACCAGTAGAAATCTTCTTTACCAGTGCATCACCAGGCTGTTTCTGGCACAAGTGCGTTTCCTCATGAGCCCCCTGCAGGACAGCAAACCATTTCTGCGTGGGGACAACAGGTTCAGGAGGAAGTCCCTTGCTTTTAATTGTCCTTTTCCTCCTTTTTTTGTTTTTTTTTTTTGTCCCCAATTCCCAGCTTCGAGAGTTAACAACCTCCTTCTTTCCTCCCTGAGCTACAGGGGAAGCTTGAGGACTCTGCACAGTTCGAGCAGGGAGCAAGCATTCCTGTTTTCTCCCAGCTACCCTGACATCTTGTAGCCTATTAATAGCTTCCCGCAGCTCAGTCACCTGCTGCAGGAGAGCCTCCACCAGGGAGCACCCAGCGCAGCCCTGCCCGTTGCGTACCTTTCCCCCACCAGACCCGTGCAGGCACTCTCTCCACCCCGAAGTCTGCCCTGCAGCCTCCCCTCTCATCGGCTCTGTCTGGGTGCCTACGGTGGCCACCGCCGGGGCAGCCAGAGCAGAGCTCCCAGACCGGGCCTCGGTCATACGGCGAGTGCTCACCACCCCTCTCGCCTGCCCGCGCGAGCTGCCTCGACCCGCTCTGTTCGCCGCGCTCCCTGGGGCAGGTTTTTAACCAATCAGGGCTGGCGCCGTTCCTCCTGGCTCCGCCCCCGGTGAGTCCCTGCTCGCGTCAGCTGAGCTGCCGGCTCCTGGGTAGCTGGGTCCTGTCGAAGACTTGAGGCTCCCTCGGTGGCTCTGCTCTTGTCGCTCTGAGTTGAGGCTCCTGGACTCTGATCTCCCCCTGCTCCGGTGTTCAAGGCATCCTCTCTAGAGCTACTCACCTCAGCAACTGACCCTAAATATATATCCTAAATACATAAACATTTGGCTTGTGGTTTTGTAAAATCAGGGACAAATTTTACAGATACAGGTACCATCTTATACCTCCACTAAATCCAAATATTAAACTGCCAACCCAAAAATCTTGTTTTATTTACAGGTTCCTTGGTACTTAGAAAAAAAATCACCTTTGAGATTTAAATTTGTAGGACTTTCTTCTTAATCTCAATACAAGTTTGACTAAGATAATTTATATCCTTTCAAAATCAGGTGAAACAACCTTAATTAAAAGTCTTCCTTAATTGCATTTGAGACAGATTAATAATTAGACACCTTTCATGTAGAAGTTTATGCTTTTCTGGTATAACAAACAAAGAACAAATACCTCATCTTGCAATAGACATCCCACTTGACCATTATATTTCATAATAACTGATAGAAGGTTCTGTCTGGAAATCAGAAAAAGAAACCAACATCAACTTAATAACAGTTGGATAAAGAGACCAGATTTCTCCCCCACCCCCCACCATATATTTGGAACAGTTTGATTTTATGTTGGCATAAAATGCAGACAAGTGCTTATGTGAATGTCAAGTAATGGAGCCTGGATCTCCATGGGTTTTTTTGGTAGACATTTGCAACAAAGGACAGATGTAAAAACCTTCTTCTACTCATACCTGGAGGATGCAAGTTTCCCAAGTAAAAGTACTCCAGTACGTGATCCTCTATTTCAGTGTCTATTGAACTCCACATCCCATCTATTTTACTCTTTAAGGTTAAGCAAGTGCTTAAATATTACTTTGAAGAAGGATGAACTTAAGTACATGCTACAATGCCTTCTTTCTCAATCACTTCACAAACTAAAGCTGCAGGGAATCAGGCAAACCATCTGGAAAACATCTGGGAAAACTACATTTCAAGAGCCCATACTGTCGCAATTATAAAACTGTGTATTCTAAACAGGGAAACCAATGCTTCATAATTCATTAAACTTAATTTGCTTACATTTCACAAGTTTACATGTGCACACTGTCTTAATAACTGCCTTTTCCGTAGTATTAGCTAAGCTGTGAATCTGTTTTACTTCTGTAGACAGGCGTACATGACTCCATAGTCCCATGCCTTTTTTATGCTACAGAAGCTACCATAAAGTCTGCACAGGCAAATTGCTGTGCCCTAGCAAAGGGTAAATTAATTAGGATTATGAGCAAGAGTATACACCTCACTACACTGAACTCCTGGACTGATGCTTCAGCTGTAAACCTCATCATTTTAGCACTGCAGGCTCCAAGTGCTATCCCAAATAGATAACCAGAATCAGAGTTTTGCTTTTAAGAAGCATTTGTGTAATTTTCTATGTTTCAAGCACAGTGAAATCCTAGCTGTTGTTTGTCAGCTGGAACACATAGGTGCCTACAAGACCATGGCTAAGGTTGTTACACACAGGAATACACCTTCCTTTTCCTTTGACAGCCTTCTCTGCAAGGTCAAATCTTCAGGAAGGGGCACAGAAACCTTAATTCCCATGTCCACACCCTTCCTAGCCTACTGATTTGTAAAATGGACATACTATTGCCTTGATGGTCCTTGGTGGTAGTCAGGGTTTCTGTGTGCGTTTTATGAAAAAATGGTAATTGCAATTTACGCCCTTTCTGCAGTGCTCGTTTATTTTACTCTATTACTTTATTCTTGACGGTTTTTCCCCTCTTGTATTTCACACTGACACTTTGTTTTAGGGATCTTCCTTTGGAAGACTTAGGAGGAACTTTTCTCCCCCTCCTTGCAGTCTGGTAGGTGAAAGTCCCCTTCGTTTCAGAGCAAATGGACTATTGTTTACAGAGAAATTGTATCTTAGTTTGACTAACAGAGCAACCAAAGATTAAATTTGCAACTACAGTCCAAAGTACAGTTTTTATGGTACATGGTTAGACTTTGATTATACATATTGTACGGAAAGAGGAGGAAAGAGAGTCATTGCACTGAAATCGTAATACAGAATAAAGAAATGTTAGGTGGCCTTTCTTGTGCTAATACTAGAGTGCATTTCCCCATAAATGCCTACTATTCACCTCCTCCTACACATGGTTTTGCCTTTACAGCTTTTTATTTCAAATCTGAACTAGCCTTATCTAGCCAGGCAGTTTCTGTGTTGAGTAGCTGCCTGGCAATTCCTCCTGTAATCCTGTTAAATCACAGCTAATACAAGCTGCTGCTCTGCTTTGACCAAAGCTCCATGCATAACATCTTTTTCATAGCATTACCCAGCTCAAAAGTAGTTCTGGACATAACGAGCCTGCTTTGCTGCCTTGATGCATACAGGTAAGTATGTTTATTAGCATGCTTGGTCTAAATGCAGGCTTCAAAATAATTTCTAAAGTTATAGAATCATAAAATAGTTAGGGCTGGAAAGGACCTTAAGATCATCTAGTCCCAACCTCCCTGCCATGGGCAGGGACCCGTCACCCAAGGCTTCACCCAACCGGGCATTGAACACTGCGAGGGATGGAGCATTTATCACTTTTTTGGGCAACCCATTCCAGTGCCTCACCACCCTTACAGTAAAGAACTTCCTCCTTATAGCCAATCTAAACTTCCCCTATTTAAGTTTTAACCCATTACTCCTTGTCCTATCACTACAGTCTCTAGTGAAGAGTCCCTCTTCAGAATCCTTGTAGGTCCCCTTCAGATACTGGAAGGCTGCTATGAGGTCTCCATGCAGCCTTCTCTTCTCCAGGCTGAACAGCCCCAGCTTTCTCAGCCTATCTTCATACAGGAGGTGCTCCAGTTCCCTGATCATCCTCGTGGCCCTCTTCTGGACTTGTTCCAACAGTTCCATGTCCTTTTTATGCTGAGGACACCAGAACTGTACATAATACTCCAAATGAGGTCAATATAATAATATAATATACTACTAGGCTAAAAATTAGTGTATTTTCCATCAGTTTATTCTACTCTAAAGAATTCTGTGTATAAAGTAGCCATAATTTTACATAATTAACAGGAAACAAATCCAGCAACTTATAACAATGATCAAAATACCTCTACTAATGCTATCCTCAATCTTTGACTACTAGATAATTAACAATATCCATATATTATCACACAGGCATGCATCATACTTCTACAGCTTTAATAGCTTTGTATAAAGATGGCAATGCTAACCAGCCCATGAACATTCAGGATTTCTTTGACATTGAGGAAAGTTTTGGAGCTTTTAGTATGGCAAATGCTACAATTATTTTGAAAAGAAAAAAAGTATAAACAACTTGAAACCGTCACTCTTAGAACCCAGCTGGTCTATATGGGAGGAAGATCATATATATAGCAAATGCTTACAGCATTCATTTTTCAGTTTCCTGGCACTAGCACCTACCACAGAGCAGTGCTAGTTTTCCTTTCTAAAATGCTGCTCATCACCATGCTGCCTGAAGCTGTGCCTAACTGCAGGGATCAGGCTATTCATCATGTTATAGTCCTGGCACCTCAGTGTCAGAGATTATGGGCCAATGGACTGTAGTTCTTCTGATGCAGTCATTGATTTACACTGTGTTTGGTTTTCAAGCTATGAAAATCAGTGCATCAAGCAATATAGCGGCTGCTGATTTTATTTTTTCACATTAGCATGTGAGAGCAAACCCAATTATACCAGAGGTAAGGTTCCAGTTCATTCTTTTTACTTCATCTCAAGCCAGTTCAAACAGCTCGTTTTCTTTCTGCTAGATCTAAGCAGACTGAGAATCTCAATCAATACATCCTCTAAAACACAAAAGTTTGTGTGCTACGATCAGAAATATAACTACAGTACCTGCAGGCAACCCTGAGCATTACTTTATTTAGCTAATCTAAATACTCACAGCTGTGAAGACACAATATCTGAAAGTAATCTGCTGGTCTTCCTAGGTGCCAGGCAGGTTTGCACAGCCTGAGTCCATTCTACTGCATAGGCATACCACTGCATCCATCTACTCCACCTCTATTACAACCCTAGCCAGGTATAGAATGGAGGAATTATGTTGCAAAGATACATACCAGTGCCTAATAAACAGCTGTTATGACTAAGTATGATACTGACTGGCCTACTCACAAAAAAGTACTATAAGTGGGCACGCTTAGAAGAATAAGGGCTTTTCTTCACTGTATGGTTCACCTTATAGTTTTGGTGGTGCTTCAAAGCCTTGTCAACATAATTGTATCAGTACTTTCAACTGAAACTAGTTGCCTCTAAAGGGGAAAAAGAATATGTGAACACTGCTGAAGTTTGCTCCAAGAAGTGAGTTTTTGATCCCTAAAGTTAAGGACTGCATGAAGGCTTATGGTCACAACACTTGAAGTAGCCACAGTTAGAATCAGCTGTGCACCCTATGTGGCACCAAGCCAGGTTCCCTGCTTCCCTCCACGCTCCCTATGACTGTTACTAAGACATGTAGGTTATCTATTCATTAGGAAGGAGTGGGTCAGTTCAAAACACCCAACATACCATGAGGCAGTCCACCACGGTGGTATTTTCATACCATAACATGGAAAAGTATGTATTGCACTTCATGGAGCAAGCCTTAAGCACAACACTGGAAGACTGCATATGTGTGCAAGGAGTCTAGTGTGGTGCCCATTCATGAACATGGCCTACGGGGAGCAGTCCCTGGAATAAACTAGGAAATGGATAAGAATCAGGCTAGAGAATATTTAAACTGGACCTACTTAAGTCCATGTTCTCTGATGGAATGCACCCACAAATGCTGAGGGAGCTGTCATTGTGAGGCCCCTTTCGATAATCTGTGGACAAACATGAAAATTGGAAGAATGCCTGAAGAATGGAGGAAGGCAAATGTGACTCCCATCTTCAAGAAGGAAGACCCAGAGAGCTACTGGCTGATTAGCCTCATCTTGAACCGTAGGAGGCTGATGGAGTACTAATCCTGAGAACTGTTTCCAGGCATGTGAACTATAAGAAGGTGATACAGAGCAGTCAGAATGGATTCACCAAGGGAAAGTTGTGCTTGACCAATCTGATAACCTTCCATTATGATAATCATAGGTTTTGACATTGTCACTCATAACAACCTCATGCAGAAGCCAATAAACTATGGGCTGAATGAACAGACAGTGAGGTAGATTTGAAAACTGTCTGAACGACCAGACCTGGAAGGTAGTGATGGGTGACACAAAGTCTAGCTGTAGGCTGGTAGCTAGTGGTGTACCTCAGGGTCCATTACTGTTCAACTTCTTACTTAATGATTTGGATGGCTCGGTAGAGTCTACCCTCAGCAAGTTTGCTGACGATATATAACTGGAAACAGTATCCAATACAGACCTTGACAGCTGGGAGAAATGGGCTGACAGGAACCTCTTGAAGTTCAGCAAAAGGAAGTGCAAAGTCCTGCACCTGGGGAAGAATAACCCCATGCACCAGTACGTGCTGGGGACTGACTATCCAGAAAGTAGCTTTGCAGAAAAGGACCTGGCAGTCCTCTTAGACAGAAAGCTGAACATGAACCAGCAATGTGGCCTTGCAGCAAAAAAGACTAGAGGTGGCTACAGGTATCCTGGGCTGCATCAGAAGTGTTATCAGCAGATTGAGGGAGATGACCCTTCTCCTCCTACTAAACACTGGTGAGCCACACCTGGAGTGCTATGTCCAGTTTCAGGCTCCTTAGTACAAGAGAGATGTGGATGTACTGGAGAGAGCCGAACAAAGGTCCACTAAGATGATTAAGGGACTGGAGTGTCTCTTCTATAGCGAAAGACTGAGACCTAGGACTGTTTATCTTAGAGAAGAGAAAGGCCATGGGGGTTATTCTTGATGTATATAAACACCTCAAGGGAGGGTGCAAAGACAATGAAACCAGGCTCTCCTCAGTTGCCACGTGAAAGGACAAGAGACAATGGGGCACAAACTTTAACACAGGAGGTACTGAGGGTGACTGAGCACTGGCACAAGTTGCCCAGGGAGGTTGTGAAGCACCTCTCCTTGGACATATTCAGAAATCATCTGGACACAGTCCTGGGCAAGCCAGGCTGTGTCCAGGTATTGCTTAATTAGGTCTTATACAAAGCAATACCTACTCTTGTCTGTTTTGAATCTGCTACTTTCACTTCAGGCTCTCTTTATCCTGCCCAGTAAAATACAATAAATGATACTTTTCTGCAGACATTCTCTGTGCTCCTCAATTTCATAGACTTGTCATCTATAAAACTACCCATCTTCTATTATCTCTTCATCAGGATGAAGAATAATGTTATTTATTTGTTTCTCATATGGAAGGCATTTCATTACTCAAGAGCATCCTTGCTGTCCTTTACTTTTTCAAGTTCTATTACATCACATTTGAAATGGTGGAAGCAGAACTGTTGGCCATATTCAAGATAAATGAACACCCTACACTGATACTGTGGCTTAATAATTTTTTTTTTTCATTTTTCTTTTCTTTCATAATAATTTCCAACATTTGTTTTATCTTTTTTGCAGCTGCTGTGCACCAAGCTGACATTCAGAACTATTTATTATAACCCCAAGAACTCACTCCTTGTGGTGAAAGGCAACTCAGAGCCTATGATTTCATCTGTGAATTTAAGACTGTTTCCTCCCATCTACACATTTATCTTCTCAAAATTTCATCTGCCACTTTATCACACACTCAACTCAGCACTGTAAAATCCTTCTGCAAGTCATCACAGGCAGCTCCAGTGCACATTATGGATAGCAAAATTTTGTCACCTAGCTATTTCCCTTTTTTTCTTCAGGTAAGTTAGAAATACAGTTGAGAACACAGGGTTTGATCACTGATTTTTCTGGGTCATCGCTGCTGGAAAATGTTTTCTCCTACCTGTCAACGATCCATGGAACAAGCAGGAAACAATAATCAAATATAGTTCAAGCTTTTACTTTTTCAATATTTACTGAACTTGTGGTTGAAGAGAGAAAGTATTTATTGCCCTACAGCATCAGAGGAAATTTTGTGGACCACAGTCAATTTCCAGCTCAACATCTTTTATTACACATCCCCTTTGAAGACTCTCTTTGCAATGGAAAAGGCCACAAGCTTTACATCACAAGAAATAAAACACTCAATAAGTAATGCGTGCATGGATTGTATGATTGGTTTAATCTCTTTATAGAAAGACCAAAATGGAAATTTGGGTCATGCTCCTAGGAAACCAGATGGGTCCTCAGTAAGCACCAGATATTCACCTTGAACAAGTCACCACCTCTCTGTTTTCCTCCATCTGCTAAATGGCAGGTGTGGCATTGACCGCTCTTGGCAATGCACTTTATAATACTGATGAAAAACATCACAAAAACCTGTTAACAGCTTCTTTATCTAAGTGCATGAAATGGAGCATAATGAAAGTTGAATGAGGAATCTATCTCATTTAGTGCTTGTCCATGGTAGGTTAGCTTTAGAGTCAGATGCACTTTGAGTGCCAAGTTAAAAGCTTGTCATAGCTAGACTCTATTAAAAAAGTAAACCAAAATAAAACATCACTCAACTGTGAAAACCAGGAATAATGAAGAGCAAACCTATTATTTTTTACAGTATTTACTCTTAAAAGTTCTCTAAGAGCAATGCACATGTGAAAATTATGACTCCTTCAATCCTGGCAATCTTTAGGAAACATGAAAACTCTAATAAAACCTTCGATGACATGAAAGAGAGAGAACAGGGAAAACTACACAGATCTATAAGTTATTATTGATTTTCGCTAAGCAATCGGGTCTGGAAATAAGTCTAAAACATTTATACCGATTTTCTTTCTCTTTGGTACCATTTCTGTTACCAGTAGGTCTTGGAATTGTCCTTTGGGACGAGGAGGCTCATTACAAACATGAACAATTACAAACAGAAATTAAATACCAGTGTTCTTACCGAGTCAGTCTCCAGGCACAGGTATCTTCTAACAGCTGATTCGCACCGAAGTGTCTTTGGTCATCCTCATGCTGTAGAACAGAGGTATATAGATAAACTGAGTATACTGAATGGAAGAATGTATGTTGGACAGATTTGCTTGCTATTTTCAAGTCAGTATGTTCTTTAGGAACTCTTAGAGTGTTCAGAATGTTTTGGTCTGAAAATTTAATTGATGAATCTCTAATCTTACACTGGGTTGTAGGAGGCAAAGCCAAATTGCCACCATAGTTCCTTCCTGCTACCCATCAACTAAGACTATAGCAGGCCTCAGAAAACCCTCTGCAATGGCAATACACACTAGTCATGAAGCAGAAATCAGTTTGCATCCACCACCTCTCTGCTGCTTCCTTTACAAAAAGAACAGAATGGAAAACATCTGTACCATCCTTTGTCACTTCCTGAAGGGACTTCATCTCCGTAATGCTTCACTAAGAGATCAAAGCACTAAAGCATGTTTTGTATGAGGAGAGGCTGCGCTGGGACTGCTCAGTCTGGAGAAAAGAAAGCTCAGGGGGAATCTTATCAATGTGTACACGTATCTTATGGGAAATAATGAAGACAAGGGAGTCAGAATGTTCTCAGTGCTCACTGACAGGACACGAGGCAGACAGCACAAATTAACATGTGTTAAATTCCAGCTTAACACAAGAAAAAGAAGTATAGTGAAGACAGTCAAACACAGAGAGAAGTTGCCCTGGAAGGCTGTGGAGTAGGTTTGAATATCTGCCAAGATATTCAAAACTTGACCAGACTCTGTCCTGTGCACCTTGTTCCAGCTGACTTTGCTTGAGCAGGGGGACTGGACAAATGATCCAATGAGATCCCTTCCAACCTAAATTATTCTGTGATTTTGCCTTATTTGACGCATTCTGTGGATCAACCTGTTCCCATTCAGACACAGTCCTTTCTCCAGCCCCATGGATTTGTTGCCTTTAATGCCTCCTCCCGCCCCGTGGAGGTAGCTCAACCCATGCTAGGCGTGCACTGCCAGCTTGCAGGCACCACCATGCTCTGGAAATTCTGCCCTTTTCCTGATTCATGGCTGAGCCCATATCTCTGTAACTTACAAGGAAAGTTATTAAGGGGCTTGTGACAAGTACAATTCTAAATTCACTGGTTAAGGCTCCGAAAGGGAATGACACTTATGAACAAGTATAACCCTGAGAGGATGAGAGAGAATTCAAGAATCACAGAATGGTTAGGGTGGGAAAGGACCTTAAGATCATTTAGTTCCAATAAGACAGAAGCAGAACAGCATCACAGCACATAGGCATCTAGTGCAGCTAGGACAGCTGCCAGACATTATTCTTCTTAGTATCCCTAGAAATGCAGATGATGGCTGGGTTGGGCATAGGTTAGGAAACCAGGCTAACGCTTGTTTGTTTACATGTGTACCGATCTAAAATATTTGGTTGCTCAAAGGTGAAGCAGAGGACAGAAATGGTATCTGGCCAAGGATACAGAAAAATCAGAAAGGTGACTCCATTTTAGGCTGGACTAAACTAATGAAACTTTCAGGTCCTTTGTAAAGGCAAGACAAAATGGTTTAATATTAAGTGCAACACATCCATGAGAAAAAAAAAATCTGTTAATCTTTTACTGATAAAGCTTTCATACAATAAACAAACAAAAAGAACAGTATAATCCAACAGTGATGAATTATGGCTCCTTATTCTCCCTCCCCCAATAGAATTGGAAAGAAAATTTGTGTTTTCCAAAAAATCCAAACAAACACACAAAAAGCCAACAAAACTCAATTCTTTTATTTGTTTGGGTAAAGAAACCTTCTCCTAATATTTTGAATGTTACTGAATTCAAATATTGAAAGATTGCTCACAAAAAGGTGACCACACTAGCAATTTTTTCCAGTTAACTGTAGTACAGTTGTGGCCTAAGGCTAACATTCCTGAGCAACTTGTGTTGATAATATGGTTGGATTCAATTTAAATATGTTAATTGACATGTGAATTAATTCACACTAATTCTGCTTTAAATTGCTATGAAGAGATTTAGCAATAGCACCATTTAAGGAGCAGGATCTTGCTGAGCTAGATACATTACAGATGTTCTGCAGTAATCCCATCTGGAGCGCTACTATCTCTTTTATCACATAGCGGCAATAAGTGAAAGATGAATTAGATGAACGAAACGGAAGGAGTAATTTAAGTAAAACATCCTCATGCATTAAGCCTTTGAAGTATGCATCTTACACCTAAGCACTGACCTATACTGTGTCTGGGCATTATGTAAGGAACACAAACACCTGTGTCCCTTACCTCAGTGTATTAACATGTGAGAAGAAAACAAAATAAGTATTTGGGGTTAGGGGATGTGTTTGAGAGTAGATGATTTCAGATTATGCCTCTGAACCCGACTGCGTTGCTCCTACAAAAATGACTGTGAGACATAACCAGTTAGAAAACCAGTTTACTGTTGCCAGTTTCCTGAGTGCAGCACTAATTGTGCCACATATGGCTCTGTCTGCTGGTTTTGCTCACAACTCAAGTCTTCTGCCCATACTATACTCTGAGGATTGGAGCACCTGACCTCTGACAGCTGTCATGCTGCTTCAATGCATGCTAGAGGACTTGTATAATATCTCAAGCCTTGAGAGTATTTTGTAGTGTTACCATAATGAGAAGTGTGCATTTAATGAAGGAAATAGCACACAGCACTCCATTGTGACTTGCTATAATATCATGCTTTGAATTTGCTACTTCTAGACAGAGCCACAATCACATTCATCTTGACTCTCAGCAGATCATACCCTTTTTTAAACCCCAATAACATTACAGCTGAGTAGTGTATACATTCTACCCTGCATTTTTATAATGTCGCTGCATGCTTAGCCGTCACACTACCACCTTTGGAGACCTTACAAATAGCAGAGCACATTCGAACTAAATGATCACAGGGACAGAGCAAGACTGGTAAATGACAAACTTCCTTTTCCATCTCATACACTGACAGCACTAGAAGGACAGGGAGGGATGTATTTGGAAACAGTGTGACACAGGTGGAAGGAGGAAGCCCTGAAGCTTTAGAGAGAAATTAGGTATGTGTGACTGACAGGAATCTAGACATTTCAGGGGACCTCATGGACTAGGGCAAAGGTGAGTGTATGTGAATTATTTAGCACTGGAACACATATGGTTTATTACTATATATCTGGGCTGTCAAGATACTCTGTGACACTAGCTAAACTACAGCCTCAGAGGAGATTTCTATAAGGTAACATATTCCAAAGTTCAAAATTCAAAAAGGATCCACTAGATCACAAGTCTAATTCTCCCCAACAGTAAGTGCAATTAACTCACAAGAATAAAGAGTAGCAGCACACGTGCATGACTGTCTGAGACAGCTGAAGAATCCTAAAAGTCTTTGTGCTATAAGGAAAAAAGAAAAAAAGGCAGCACACTATTTTTACATCTTTTTATGTGAATTCTGAGAGAAGGAAATTTATTTTCCATAAACTGGTTCTAGGTCTGTGACTTTCAAATACGTTTTCTCACCAAAGCCACAAGTTTCAGAGAACAGCAACAACAAATTGGTTGTGAGCTCAGTGCAGACTACCTCAGATCCTTGAATTCAGTGTTGCTAGCACTGGTTTCAGTAGACCAAAATAACTGGGCCCAAAGTGAAAGGCAACACTGTAGCTTTCAGTGCACCATAGTCTTTGTCCCCTCTGTTAGGTTTTGTCTGCTCACAGACTTGCCTGTGAACAGAACTTCTTCCTAATGTAAGTACTCTGTCATATCCTGGAGCAGGAGGAAATCTCTGGATCTATGACTTATGCCAGCTCAAGAGCTGCTCATGTTCTTTGCTATTATTAGAAACCTGAAGTAACTTCATGGCCTGAAGCTTTCAGAGATATGTCAGTTACCCTAACAAGGTGATCAATAATTCACTTTAAGATATCTTAAAATGTCACCCTTCCTGGTTAAACCCTGTTGTAGATTATTATAGTTCCACAAATTCTCTGAGACAATAGATGTTTTCTAATGGCCTGAACACTGATAATTTGTCTCCCAAGCTTGTCAGCTACCTGTCTGTTTGTTTGTTCGTAATCATTCTACCTGGTAATTGTAACCATTTCCAAAACATGAAACATCAAGAGATGCTCTGTCTCTCCTCCACAGTGCACTGCAGAGTATTAAACCTCATTTAGTCCTGTCAAACTGTAACAGTTAAAGGAGACTTTGCACATATTAAGTCAACATCAAGCATTTTACAGTAGCACAGTTTCAAGGGCTACTTAAACACAAGAAAAGGCCCCCTTATATTTGAGATACTACACACATCCCTCACTGGCTCTTTTCATCTGTGATTATGCTCAGAATGTGAACACTTAAATCATTATGTCTGGTAAAATATGAATACTGGTATATATGAAAATAAAAGTGCTTCTGAACTTTCAGGAAATATCACCTGCTGGCTGCTTTAGTCCAAAAATCCTTTTCTGGGGGCAACTGAAACTCTCTTTAGAAACTCATAGAATACTCTTTGCTGCCTCTCCACTGCAAAGTTAATTCTTTCCACACATAACTAGTATGTGGGGACAGCTCTGAAAAAATGGGTCTCTCAGACAGGCACAGCACTCTCTGGGAACGGCATCCTGACAAAGGTTTCTCCTTCCATGCTGTTTCACTATGCCTTGCTTCCAAAACATGACCTAGCCACTAAGAATTTAACACTTCCGACCCATTACATCTCCTGGAGTTCATGTTTAAGTGTTGTCCCTTAGAGACCACACTGGGTACGTACAGAGTGGGATAGGTGTGTAGTAGTAGATAAACAAATATAGCAATTGTTATTATTATTGTAACTTCTGTACACTGGGCCACCATTTGACAAAAGGACTATTTGATTTTTTCCACTTTCATTGTCATTCTCAAGATTTCTGTGTGTGGAGAAAAATTTGCAGTGACCAGAATTCCTACTCCAGAAGTTCTATCTTGCTAGATGGTATAAAACTGAGCTTAAATATGTTTCTATATTACAAAGATAACTTTATATTCTGTGAATAAGATAAAATTATAAGTTTAGAGGAATCCAGCACCTCAAAAATTTGGATCTTAAAAGACTTTTGTTCCAGAGGGCTAAAGCTGACCAATTTGTCTCAAAAACCCAAAACCAAAATAAAGGTCATCCACTGTCTGAAAGGCCCGTGATTCCATGTTAAGCCCCAGGCCATATTTCTTGCTTGCAACTGCTGAGCTAAAAACAATTTCCTCTTTATGACCATTTCATAACAGTATGGCAATTTCCCACAAAAGGAAAGGAAGCAAGTATTCACCTTAAAACAAACAAAAAAAATTACATCTTTCAGTGGAATTCACTGAAGAAATGTGAACATTTAGTTATTGGCAAAGTTAATAAGCTGTCTGGCTTTAAAAAAATAAATTAGTTGCACATTACTTTGAAGTATCCACTTATATTGGTTATTAAGCCTAATAGTAAAATAATAGTAATTTGCAGGTACAGATATTTTTAATTATGTCTCCTAATTTCAACAGTGTTATGTAAGGCAAGCAAGAATCATGAAGGCGTTCACCAGATGGCACTGGTATAGGTTTTGCTTCCTTAGCACACAAAGAAGTTCAAGGTTTCAGATGAGACTACTGAATATATCAGTTGGTTCCAAAACAAATGATTTTGAAGACCTATAGTAATAGCAGCTCTATGTACAGCAAAATGGTAATTTGCCCCATATTTTAGTTTCTGTTTGAAGGCAGAGTAATTTGCAGAGAATCAATCGCTACTTGGAAGATTGAAGAGAAGATCAGCAGAAAGCTGTCTGAGGCTCCCTCTTTTCAATATACGCATGTAAAAAATCTTCACCATATGCTATATGCATAATGCATTTGTACCAAACTTCTAATTTATCTTACTGATATCTCAGGACAGAAAATGTTGGATACCTACAACTGCCCAGCAGAAGGGTCAATAACACATTATTCTATTTAAAAAATAGAGATGCTGACCTAAAAAAGGTAAATAATTTTTCCATCATTACACATTTACAGACATCCATAATTATATCACATAACCAACACTCCGATCTTCTCAAGCCCTTCTTTGACAGCATTAACTAAATGGAAAAATTACATTTCCCATCTTCTGTCACAGGACCTATGATCTAACTCCAGAAACACTATGATAGCCATCTAATCTCTGTTTAAAGCAGAAAATGAAAATCACACGATGATTCCTGCTTCAATCTCAACAACTTGCAGTTAAATGACAATGAGGTAACACAGATACTTTCCTCAAAATACCTTATTCCAGCGGTCACTGGGCTTGTTCTTATTGCTGCTGTGTAATGTGGATTGGGTGAGAAAGCACACAAGATGGACACTTGCTCATCCATTCTGAAGGTATATTCAAACATCAACCTATTTTCTCTACAGTGATATCAAGCACTTGGTAATTCATTGATCTGAATAATTTTTGAAGAAGTAATCTGGTGATGAAAGCTTCCATGTTTCCTAATTTACTTTATTTGGGATGATGCTATACCAAGAAGAATTGACAGATTATAAAAATTAAATAATTAAATTAATAACATTGGCAGTGAAAAATGCCAATAATATAAGCCAGGATTATACATATCAGAACTATATTATTCTGCTTTTGTCTATAACCTGGTTAAAATATTACATATATATATGTGTGTGTGTATATATATTTGGCCTCATTATAGACCTTTTTAATACATCGTGTTGAATTTAATGTTTCACATGGTGTCACATACTGTAAAACCCCTGCCCTTTTTTGTTAGAAATGTGTCACCTGACCCACGTATTGACAGACTCAGGCTGACAGCAGACCTGTGCAAAGCTGGTAATTGGTACGTTCTGTGAACGGAATCAACGCACTGCCAGTGAACACAGCCCAGAACAAAGCTTCTGTGGTACTGAAAACTTTGTGTTGAAAGTAATTCAAGGTTGTCCACTGAGAATAAAACTCACATTTAATAGCACAGGTCAGCACCATTAAAGCTCAGTAATGCACTGCAAGGATGCATAAACCCAAATAATCCGAATAGGAATCTCCCTGGATTTAAGATGATGATAAAGCAATGTTTTCCTAAGGACTACATGTCCTTACAGACAACATTTCTACATGTCTATGACAAGCACACGCACCCACAAGTTTGCATGACACATGCACAAACACACCAACCGCGATTCTGACTTTTATCACCCTCCTCCAGTTTTCAGTGATAACAATAATCCAGATCTAATTCATATTTCACAGTGCTTTGCATGGGTTTACCATAGAAAGGAAAAAAAAAAAAAAAATTACTGACCATCTCAAATAAATTGCATTAAATTCTGAAAAAAATGGGGGTTTTTTGGGTGGTTTTTTTGTTGTTGTTGTTGTTTTTGGGGTTTTTTTTCTGGAAAGGTAACCCTTGGTCTTTTTCAGTTGTGTGTTCTCTATGGTAATTCACTATATTTAAGTACAAGGGCAAAGCAGAGATGTTCCTCAGTAAGTTTCAACCGGAGTTCAGCGATAATATATGCATTCTCAGGAAAGCAAATAATCTCTCTTTGATTATTACTGCAGGTTGCTACATAAAAGGATAGGTGGGATTTTATTCCTTCAGGGATGCTGAAATAAAATGGAGGAAAAGAAGCTGACATACCGTTCTAGCCAAACTTTGCTTCAAATTACTAGCAGTGTGTAGTCGAAGCTGAATGCAGGTGGTTGCCTTGCGAAGACTTTCATGGCTGCCCAAAGTGCGACTACTGCAGTTTGGAGGGAAACAAACAAAAAAACCACAAACAAATGGTTATCTCTGCTTGCCAATTCTGTTTTTTTTTTCTCGTCTCTCCTTCTCCTAAAAGCACCAACTGTCTAAATCCTAAGTACAAAGAAGACTGAATAATATAAATCCTATACTTGGAACCTAGTACCATGAAAACTGGTGGGGCTTGGTTCTGGCAAATTTTCTGGTGAAACAATTTTAGAATAAGTATTCAGTTACATCTTTGACCATTAAGTTCTGTAACAGAACAACAAAAACACAGAGAAAGAATACCCTAAAGAAACTGCATGTGCTCCCAAACCTAGAGATTATTCATGTGCATTCTTCAAAACCAAATCAGCACAATTTATTCAGAGTACCTTGGTTATGAATGCACCACTGCAGAATGAGTTGCAGTGCTTGATACTTAAGTTGAAAAAAATTAAATATTAATTATAAGTTTGAAAATCACCTACATGAATAGAGGTGTCCCTTGATTCTCAAAAGAAATTGAAGTTCTTACCCTGTGCAGCTCACAGAGAGGTGGTCAAAGAAGCTGTGAGCCAGTCTTCCTCCTTCTCAAATCACACGCCAGCTAAGACAGAGCTCTACTCACCGAGCTGGAGTGGTTCCTACAAGCTACACTGATAGTCAAGTATGCTAGTATGCTGTAGCAGTCCATGACAGAGAAATTCCTCATTCTTATTTAGCTTCTAGTCCACTTATCACTCTTGGCAATTTCTTCCAAGTTATATACAGGCTTAGTTTATAACTCTTAAAATTACTTGAAACAAAAATAATTTCACTGTTTCCCTTCCACTTTGTTTTAATCAGGTGAAATAATGTAAAAATTATTTCAGAGTTAGGACAAGCATATTTTTATATTTTTAAAAATCCTGTAGGGTTAACGGGTAGGAAGCATTACACTGATATTTGCAAAGGAAAATTCATCACCAAAACAAGTTAACATGCTTCACTAGTTACAACTCAAGTGAATTTTCAATTAAATTCATGTTGCTTTTTTCAAGCCTCCAGCCGCACAAGTGCTAAAAGGGATATTCCATATTTATACAGATCTACAGCGCATATGTTATTTCAGAACTCTCTTGGCCAGGAAAGAAAGACAATTATTCTCTGGTTTGTCAAGCGCCATAGAAAACTCAGAATTCAAGTGTAAAATATGTTTCTTCTACCTAAAAGGGATTTTGATGGAATACTTTAAAACTGGCTGGATTTGGTTCCAAAAAAACCACTAACCTGATGAATAAATCATAGAAAGCTTGACTTATATCTCACATGGCAGCAGAGGTCCCCAGAACAAATGAATGGTTAAACTTAGATTAACGTACTGCACATAAGTTCTGTTCAGCACAATTGCAGGGAATTTCTATATCTCGTAGATGTTCTGCACCTACACTACAATGTAGTTAAGTAAAATACATACTTTTCATTAGAGGTCACAAAAGGTGAAAGTGTAGATATAGGAATTTTTAAAAACAAACACATTAAAGGTCACAGACCTTTCCATCTAACATAGCAAACACCTAAAGCAATGTCCTTCTATAGTGCTTCTATATATTTGTAAAATTGCCTGATTTGAAGAGCATAAAGCACAGATACAAAAGTGAGAGAGGTTAACACCAATGCAGTGAGGTATCTATACTGGTGGGAAACGTATCGCTGTTATGCCTCAACCTTGTCAAATCCCTTTACAAGCACAAGTCCAAGTGACTGGTTCCTGGGACTGTACCAATGCATAGATTGTCTTCTGTTTCTCCTCAGCACATAGCTATGCTATGCCTACCAATGGCTTTCCTGAAACTTCTTTCCTCATTTTAGTAAATCACATCTCCTTGTGACTAATGATGAACTTTCCCATAATCCTTGTAAACTTTCAAACTGCCTCACACCTTTTTTTTCACCTTTTACCCTACCATTATTCCTGATCTTTCCATTCTCCCTTAACTTCAACCTTAGGACAGGTGATATAGCAATACTCTCCTCTGTACTTACAATTTTGTACTAGAAATGTACAAACCCCATATTTTCCAAGTAAAACTATTCCATGTCATCGTGCTTCCAAGTGAAACAAGCTACACCAACAGAAGTTGAATTTTGTGGTTATAGCTACTTTTACACTAGTGGTTTATGTTAGTTTTGTGTCAGGCAGGTACTACACATCATCATATCCTTTATTGACGTACCTGTGCTGCCTGAAACATTGCAGTCAGAAGTACTGGCCATACAGTTGACTCTATGAGTGGATTTTATTTGCACAAAAGAGAAAAACTGTGACAGGAACTGTGACACAGAAGACTAGACAAAATTAATTAATGCCTCATAAATGTGGAAACCTGCTCTAGATGAAAGGTGAACTACAACAAACAGAGATACAGCTTTGCCATAGACTGACAGACTACCTTTTAGCCATACCCCAGGCTGTAACACGCTATTGTGGATCTGCTCCTATAGCTGTACTATTATGATAAAAGTAATATAGCCCCCTTTGAAGGATAGCAAGGTTTATTAGTAACTGGCTTACAGTGCTCCAAGCTCTGTAAAGGAAGCACAAATAAAAACACTACAAAATTATTAACAGTTTGCCCATATTTTTTGCTGAAATTACTATGTGGAGAATACAGCTTTCATGAGAATGCCATGATAAAAGACAAAGTGAAAAGCAGTGTTTGTCTTTAAGGGCCATGCTAATGAACTAGTCAAAGCAAAGTGACTTGCCTGTGGTCCCACAATATATCAGAAGAAGAGCAATGGAAAATCTGTCAGTCTCTCAAGACTCCCTCATCACTAGATGATTTTGCTTCCCCTCAGCAACGTTCTCTGATGTGCTATAAGCTCCAAATCCTAACACAGTTCAATCAGACTTTTTTTTTAAAGGACTCAGGCTGAGCAGTGTTTCTGAATGAGAAACTTAATATGCAGTGACAAGAGAAAATGAAGTTTATTTTTTACAAAGAACATATTCATCCAGAAGGTGCTTGCTTCTTACAGTCCCAGTCTGCATGAATAGAGAACTCTGCCCAACCTATAATTAATAGCTTAAACTTCACTTTGAGTGAAAACAAATTCTTACTTAGATCTCAATTCTCAGAGAATAGAATTAGTAAGGCAAAAACCTGTCATCAGTAAGCATGTGAGCAGAAATAATAAGCATTCAGACTCTTCTGTTCTATACCCCTGCTTACTGCAGTTGGCTAAACTGCAAAGCAGTAAGGTAACTGTGCAAATTACAATATGGTAGAGCATGGATGGAATTAAAAACACATAGCACGAAAGATCCTTTCCAATATATGATGCCATATTAAAAAGAAAAAAAGAAAAGAAAAAAAAAGGATGTTTAGAAGAAAGCTTATAAATATCCTTGGACTTCATTACTTTGCTGGTTCTGCATTACTGGAACCCTTTGCAAACAGATCAATAAAAAATAAATACTGAAAAAAAAAATAGAGTGCCCTGTATCCTTATAATACACCCATGTACCTTGTTTTATTACATGTTTTGGGATGCCCTGAGTTTGTGACCTGTAGTTCTAAAGGCAAAAAAAAGTCTAAATGGATTGATTCATTGCTGTCACATGAGATGGGTTGGTTTTGTCTTGCTGCTGGCATAGAGAGCGAGGAGTTATTTGACACAAGCTGCTTAAACCCAATTTAATTTATTTGTATATAACATCTTTCATGAAGAGGCATCAATTCTAAATTTTACAAAAGGCAGGAAAGTGTGAGAGCAGGATTATCAAGGTAGATGCAAAAGGTCTGGATGATGGGATGATAAAGCAAAGAATTTTTAGAAACAGCAGATGGCCCTCCAAGAAATAAAAGATTATCATGAACAGCACAAGCATAAGGCAGTGGAGAGTATACCCACAGCTGGGAAACCCAGAGAAGGAGGGTTTAGGGATGCACATGAAAATCAGAAAATTCTATGAATAGTGGTAAAAATTGTTGACACAAATATAGGGTTTACTCCTCTTTTCCTTCAAGGAGTCTCTGTCTTTCAGACAGGGTTCTGCCTCTAGATACACTTACACTGAAATCTAAAAAACAAACTGCAGCAGCTAACTGGGGAAGTTAGTAACATACGACTTACAATGGAAGATGGGAAAGGGACAAGGTGGCAATGAATCCTGATAGCTTGTACAGGTACTGCAAGAAAACCTGAAGGAAAAGGAAGCATAAGAAGAAAAAAGAAACTTGCAGATAGAAGCAAGGCCAGGATTTCTGATCAGTAAACAAAATGAACTTAAAATCAGAAACCAAATGATATTATACATCAGAATTTCACAGATGGCTCTATTAGTTAGGACTGACCTGCAGTCTACACGCAGCCTTCTGTTTTGCTAAATTTGAATATTTGCAAAATTGGTACTCTTCTTGTGAGTCAGACAGGTTGTAAGCTCAAGGGTATCTCCATAGGAAGGGAATAATGGATGGTTAAATCTTGTGGTGCTGAGTGTAATGGTCCTTAGTACACAAGTATATTTCCCCCATCTAATTCAAAGCTAAATGGATTCCAGAAATCATCAAGTCTTTCAGGTGCTGCTGCAGGAGTCAGGGTGAAGTGTTCATTAATATAGTCAACATAACAGTAAATGAAAGCTTTTGACAGATCGTCACAAGAGTAGTCTGGTTCACTAAAACACTCTGGTGAGAACAATTCAGCACGTCACCGTTTTGGCTTCACTTTAGTTTTTTTTTCTGGATTACAATAAAGCAGAAGCGACAACATATTTATTCCCTTTGCTGTCTCATAACTAGGGGAACTTCTGCAGGTATTCATCACTGAACGATTTCCAAATACTCTTCTGGGGAAGAACCCTGCACAAGTACATCAAATCATTCTGTTAGAAACATCTTTAGGAAATCAATTTGCAGTAAAAGATAGCCCAAACACAGGAAAAATCTCACCCTGAGGCTACTCCAAAGGCTGTGTTAAGGTACCCAAGGGATCATTATGGTCTGGAGCTTCAAATTTGATACAGGACTCTGATGAGGACACAGAAGAAAGAAAGCTGGAAGCACTGCGCAACACAGAATTACAAACTGGTAAGGCCAGAAGTGCAGCTGAGTGCTCTCTGCATGACAGTGCAGGAGCAAAGCAAAAAAAATGAAGAACATTATTGACCTTGTTTCACTGCTAATGAGACGTGCAGAGATTCTGCAAGTGCCAGAATTTAAACAGTCCACTATTGATGCATTCTCCCCAACAGTGAAAATAAAACTGTTTACAATGTACTGTATACTGTGCGGAAATGCACTGAGCTCACCGTCAATTCAGTGACTCATTATTCCCATTTTCTGCAGTAATTAGTTTGAAATGAGAAGAAAGTCTTGAAAACAACAACAATTAAAAAAAACAAACAAACAAAAAAAAAAACAAACACTGGCCTTTTTATATAATTAAGAGATCTGTGTATGATTCTCTGCTCAGTGGTTCTAGCACTGTAAATGCTTCACACACTGCCCTGCTGTACGAGCTCCTGCTTTATGGAGATTTGAACAAGTGAAGAGCAGGCTTAGAAATATTGAAGTTCCCATCTTTAGTTGCAAAACATAATTCATCACAAACATCTGAACATTTGGCCTGTGTAAGAGTACAAGTGTCCAAGCTGGATATAGAACAAAGCTAACTTACAGTGTGACACTTGTTTCTCACAACTGCATTAGTTTCATTAATCAAGCTGACTTGCTCTGGGCTAGTCCAGGTAACCTTTACACTATACTGCAAATACAACTGCTTCTAGAGATTCCCCTTTCCATTACAGATGTACACTATTTTATCTAACGCTTTTTACGTCTCTAACAGATGAGCTGTGACTCCTGCAGTGCCAACTTAACATGTTACACAGAGAACTGCCAACTTCTCCCCTTCTGCTGAAAGTCACCCGTGCTACAGCACAGCTGATAAGAGCCTGCACTTCAGCTGTTTCAACACAGAATCTGCTCACTTTTGCTGACAGCTGAATTTAAGCTGCCAGGAGGCAAGAAACAGCTACCTGAGTCCAGTAGTTCTTTTACCACAAGATTTTGCTTGAATTAATGCAAACCAGAGCATTTAGTTCCTTACTTGTTGACTACATACATTCAGAAAAACCTGTTTGTATGTATAATGTGTTTTTAGTCAACTTGTAGTCAGCACCAAAGCGCTGACTTCATTTGCTTTACTGCTGTTGCAACTGGATATGAAGACAAATCACCTGCGGTGCAGCTGTAGAATACTGTTTCTCCTCTCTTTGGTGATTTCCCCCTTTGAGGATATGCATACCCCCTCATGCTTATAACACTCCTGTGAGATACTGGAAGTTGCAGCATCCTCCTATTATAGATGCGAAAGATGAGAAGGGCAACAGAGTGAAACGAATTATTCAAGGTTGCATGAACCTTATATAAGGAGCCAGGATTTGAATTCTTGCACTAGAGCACACCATCCTTTCTGTAGAACTCAAGTACTGTGTATTCTGGGAGTTTCAGAAACTAAGCATTGTTTGGTACAGAAAATCCTAACTCTCCCTATGGTTGTGTTTACATGGCATGTAAGCAGAGTGCATTAAAAGCACAGCTTATATTACACAATATATACTCAATATCAACTCTTAATAAGATACTTACTTTTGTAAGAATTCATCAGACCCACAAACACTTAGAAGGCACTCCTCCTGGACTGGGTATTGATTAGTGCATTGGAGGATCTCTACAATTAAGTCACGAGTGATACAACCAGCTGTAAATAGAGATAGCAAGAAAAATTAATAGCTTCTTAGAGAATTCCAGGATAGATACTTGAGCAAAGAATTTATTTACAATTCCTGACTACTGCTGCAGACTAGCTCCATCAAGAGGAATTAGATCAAGGCACACCTGATTTTTTCCTTCAAATACTTTACAGCAAGTTACAGAAGCTACGTCAATTTTGCCCAATTAGAAGAAACGAGACACTTGCTACCTAATATACTGCTAAGCAAAAAGGAAGAGGAAAATGGCATTTTTTTAATTTTTTTTTTAATTTATTTTTCTGATTAATATCTTGGTACAATTCCCATGTGGGCTGATGCAAAAGTTGAATGTTGCTGTTCATGACACAAGAAGGCTCTAGAATCTTACTTGTTATTGTTTCTACTGTGCCACCTTTTTAGCCATAACCAAGAAATAAATGCTCAGGTGCATTTTATTTATACAATATAGTATGAGTATTGTTTAATATTATGTATAGCCAAACTATACAGAAATATATCTCAATTACATATTATATATATAAAGAAGTGTTATGTCAGTTTGCACAATCTGCTGTTCAAAAATATTTTAGAATTTTGAGAATTATTTTAAGCACTACTTGAGCTTTTAAGTCATTTTACAACCTTATCAATACACCTCCACTCTGTCCATTTTAGAAGAATGGAAACAGGTTAAAAATGGAAAAAGGAATAGCTGCATAATCTGGCAGTCAAATTGCAAGCATGTCTAAGTTTGGTCTTTAGAACAATGTAGATCACATTGCACAAGCACTGATGCTGCAAGTCTGAGATGCCTTTCCCTAGCAGAAAAAAGATCTGACTTCATGTGATGTATCGAGATGGTTTTAAATTGCAAAATAAAGTCTGGACTTCCTCCACAGTTCTTAGGCAATCTCATTGTCTGTAGCTGGGAACAGTAAAGCCAGAGTATTTTTTCCTTTCATTTCTTCAGTTCATGATAATTCTTTATTGCTTCATAATTACCAGCTGCAAGAGCTCTTACTAGTAGCATTAAGTGAACTTTTTCATATAAAAATGGAAGCTACCTACAAATACCCAGAAACTAACAGGTAACACAGACTTGTGTGTTTACACTGCTCCAGGTTTAGACAACTAGTTTAAACTGAGCCTAACCAACCCATTTCATGAGGTTTAATGGCATCCTGAATTACCCAGTTGCCCGCAGCAAATCTGGTTCAGAATTGCTATTATTTTAGAACAAAACAAAAAAATGAAAAACTGTTTTTGTCTGGAAATTTTGTGGATGTGATCCTGAAAGCAGCTTCAGAGAACAGTTGACATTTCTAGGGGAGGGGACTGTGACAAAATCAAAGCTGAATTAAACCAGAGCTGGTTACCACAGCTAGCTTGGGTTTTGCTTTGGTCTGCTCTTCCCCAGGGAAAAGCAAATGCATCAATGGATTCAAAAGTTCCTTCAGAAAAATCTAATTTTCTTTGAAAACCCATTTTTCTTTTGCCCTGAAAGCCAATTCAATTAAACATTTTTTACCAGTTCTAAACATCTAGCAGTGTGACAGCTCTCCGTTTTAAGTGACTCCTTGCAGGAGGTTTGACATGTAAACTACAGTGACTATTTGCTAAATTTATACACACTCGAAGAAGAAAATGGCACAGAATCTTGAATTAAAATTGTAACACGCACATTTCTCAGGTCACTCACTGGACAAAATCTGAAACTAGTATTATTAATTTTCACTCCATAAACATATTTTTCTCTCCTTACTCTGCCAAAATTTTTTGCATCACTGAACAATTCTTTGTATTATATGGGGCAAAAGAGTGGACTTCCTTCCCCACTTCAACTATATCTAATTGTTTAGATTGTCTGTAAACAAGTTTAGATAGGGAGTGTTTCTTATATGCCCTTCAGTTTTAGATGTGCCTTCTAAAGCACTTCTGTGAATAAGTTAAGCAGACTGAAAATTGAATGATCTGTAGTATAAATGACACCTATATGGTAAAACATATGCATTACAGGGAACTTCAGTGTAGATCCCTTGCCTAGCTGACATAAGTGCTGGAAATACTACCTTGTGGACCAATTGTCCCAAGATCTTTGGTCCTTTTCTCCATAGTATCCACAAACTGCTAGTTTAAGATGATACAGCCTACTATTATCCAGGCTTTCCAGTAACTGTGTTTCCAGTAAGCACCGAATCAAGCAACTAAACTTGTATGAATAAACATATATTTATGAAAATACTTAAAAGATGTATATGTATATGTTGACTGACATTTTGTAAAGCTCTAGATTTTCAGCTTTGAACCTGTCAAACTAACACTTAGCCTGCTAACAGCCAAATAATTTCTTGACAAGTGAAAAAATTATTAATAAGCAGAAAAAAAAGACCCTTAATAATAATAAATAAATAAATAAATAAAATATATCCCTTAATGAAGCAGCACAAGAAGAGAGGGGGAAGAGGATTTAATTCACTTCATTTTTGCATATCTGTCTTGAAAAGTGAAAATTACCAGAGCTGGAATCAAAGATTCTCCCATTCAGCATAATACATAATGCACAGGAGCATCGGCACCTTCCCACAGTCACTAGTGACAGAATAATTTAGGTTGGAAAGACCTCAGACGTCCAGTGTCCTCCCGAAAGGAGGGTCAACACTGAATTCAGACCAGCTTGTTCAGGGTTTTGTCCTGTAAGACATTAAAACCTCCAGTGATGGTGAGTCCACCACCAATTTTTAATTATTTTCTTCTTACAGAGTTGGAATTTCTCCTTTCGTATTTTGACCATCATGTACTTTCCCTGACCTGTATATAACCTTGGGTGCAGAGGAGTCTTAGAAACTATAGACTCTAAGTCTTGGATTCAGAAATAGAGTCAAAGCTGTAAAAAGTTCCGCAAATACATGGGGACTACTCCTACACTTTAAATGAGGCAAAAGCTCAAATTCCTTCTGGATCCAAGTCTGAATGATGGCCTGTTTGAGACTGCCAGAATTGTTCCCAGTTCTGACTAAAGAAAGTAGAGATCTATACATTAACAAAGTTTGATATTTAACAGGATTTTAATTTTACAGCAAATATGTGACCATATTTGACAAAGTATGTACTCAAGACTCACATAAGGCTTGCTCTCCCAGTATATTTCCAGATAACAAATGATTTTTTTTATCATCTCCATGAAACTGAATAGTGGAAGGGTATGAACACCTCAATCACTTACCACATGGTGTAAGAAGCAGAGCATGCGGTGAAGAATCTGTCCAAATGCTGATTCTGAATTTTGATTCACCAAGGATATGGTTGGGGAACTTTGTTGCAACGCTCCAGATTTTCCCAGTGTTTGTCTTCAAGTCAAAAGCAGGATTGGCATTCCTTATTCTGAAAAGAACATGTGATAAACTGATGTCCAAATAAGTGCACATTTCAGAACTCTCCTAAGAACAAAATAAAAAATCTACAAGATACCATTAACACACAGTACATAGAGAGCTGTTAGGAATAAAATTTTGCGCAAAACGAGAGTGAAATGGTAGAAATTCAAACTTAGTGAGATAACTGCAGATCAGACAGAATCCATATAACTACATCTTTTACATCCATATAACTACATCCTACTAACATAGGAAAACCATCAGTAAAATCTTCATGAACTTGACCTCAGTGAAGCCAAAAGGAGTTTAAACACAGACTTCAGTGTACACTGAGCACAGTAGAAATAAGAGAACTCAAATATGTACTTGAAGAGTTTTAACATAAAACTAACCAAGAGCATGTGCACAGAGAGCTGAGACTAGGACAGCTGGTCAAAATGGATACAGACACACGCTCTCTATGCAAAATCTTAAGAAGTCCCTATTTTCACAGTGCTCTAGAATCCAATCTGAAATCCTCATTACTAAAACCCTGGGTATTTATGTAAATGCCTGTAGAGAGCAGTAACTATTACAGTCATTGAGTCCCTCTGATATACCATTACCTATAAAATATATTGCCCCTCCTTCTTCCAATTACCAAAGACCTGCAGAAACTAATTCCTCCTGGGGTACCATTTTCTAATGAACATTGGTTGCAGGTATTATGCCTGTCATCTGAGATTAAACTTGCTTCTTAAGCAAATATACTTTACAGCTGCAGGTATGGGTACATATTGGTCCAGATGAAGCTTTATATTTCACTAACTGGCCTGAATGTTTTAGCAGCTAACTCAAATATATCGTACTAAGCATACTGCATTATTTGTTTGTTAGTTCAAGCAGCATTTTGCAGCTTCTGAGTTGGCAGCACTTTATATCATCTCTGATTACAGTGCATTTTGAGCCATAGTTCTCTTGAATAAAGCTCTTCATCACTCTGTTACCTCCTGCCTCAGGGCTGCTGCCCAACTCTCTTAAACAACGGTATGAACTACTGTTTTATGTCATGTATTTCTATAGCATGAGAAAGAAAAAAAAGCCTAGCCTTCCAAAATTAATAATCCAATGAAGCAGCCCATGTCTTATAATGAAAAGCCAGGGGGCATAGTGTTTCAGTGGGGTAGAAGGAAATGAGGCTTGACAATACCTTCAGTATGAGATAGATTTATACTTACAGTAAAAAATCATTATATTACAGAGGCTGCTTTGGTGACCTATGTAGCCATTGTCAGTCTATTTTCTTTGCAAGCAAGATACACATAAAACTTTCCCTTATCACAAAATTCACTCTTGTAACCTGTTTCTGTAAGAAGGCCAAGGACTGAATAAGACTGGAAACTTCACTACTCTTTCTCCAGCATCAAATTAATGGGCTACATACACACATAGGGCACAAATCACCTCCTGAACTCTGACTATCATTCCAAAACTAAGCAAACCTCATCTCCTTCCCTGCCCACACACTATATTTTAGAATAATGTGCATAAAGAAATTTGGTTTTTATGCATTTCAAATAAAGACGCATTCAGTTTCAGAAAGTGTTGCTCATTTTGGCCATCTGTTGTTTTTAAGTGATTAAAGGGCACCTGGCCTGAGCAGGTGAGTGAAACATGTCCATCACAAAATTCTGAAAGGTTAGGTCTTTCAGGGCATAACTGAAGTACTACACAATTATTTCATGAATAAAATCTTCTGCTACTTCCTTTCTGTGCTGCAACAACTCAGTGTACGAGGAAAGTACTAACATTTAGAGAGATTTGTTATTCCACAGCATTTCATAATTTCTCTGCGGTGCAGAGCACATCCCTGGAGTCAGTAGGAGGTGGAGGAAACTGCATATTGCAGCATTGAACCCTAAGGCTACCAAACTGGCATCTTCTGTTATCAAACTCACTTTAGAAAGCTACCCACGGATGAACATTCACTATAGGCTATGTCCATAGTTGCAGAAGTAACCTGATAAAGTCATTTGGATAACTGCTGTACAGTTCTGTGCAATGAAATGTTTCAATTATCGATTCCTACCTGTATTGATATTACCTACAGAAACACTTGATAGGTTTCTATCTGAGCCAAATGCTGGAGGTACATGTCTGGAAGACAGTTCGAATTATACATCTTGCCTCCAATATACAACAGCCAGTTATTGAGATTCTTTATGACTCAAAGGATGATCATTTGGCAAGACTGAATACATTATTTACAAATTTATGACTTTTGCTGTCTTTTGCTTGCTTGTGACATTTTGCCCTAGGAATGTTTTCACATTTATAAGATATAAGAAAAGCAGAAGTTGCTCTTATTTTCTGTTTAAGAACATTACTTCAAAACAGGAATGACTTAATTCTATTAATTTTTTTGCTATAATCAGAGTGAAAAGTTAAATGTATCATATTAGAACATTAAAAGGAAGTGAATATGCCATTATGTGGAATGCACCTTCATGCATCTGATGTTAGTAGAATTGGGTTAGAGTTCAGTCTGATGAACTGTGGGGAAATAAAGAAAACTGAGATGTATGTGAATAAGTATGTTTTGAAGCTGACCATCCATCCACCCCATATGAATATATAATAGATTCACCGTTAATTTCAGGGTAACATCTAACTTGATTTTTCTTTCAGTTCCATTAAGAAATACATAAAGAAAGTAAGAAAAAAAAATCAAAAAAACCCCAAACAACCCAGCATTCCATTTTCCACTTTGCTGGGGTAAAAAGTATGCATTCGTGCTAACAACTTCATAGTGTGACCAGTGAATACCTCACCAAGGAAAAGGAATCTGCACAGATGGTCTAAAACCCTGCATGTTTAAGTGTTCTTGGATTTCAACACAATTGCTTTTTCCAAAGAAGATTAAGCAAAAAAAGTTCTATTCCATTAAGCTATGCTATTACCTGTAATGGTAAACAATAATTAAAGGACTTTCTGCCCCTTGTTAAGTCTGATTTGTCATCATGACAGCATGTAGTAATTCTGTTCCCTGCCAGTCAGTCCCTCCAACGATTTTTTCCTGCTCTGAGCTATACAGGCACTAATATTGTCCAAGACAGCGGCAGGAAATTGAAGTTAAGATTCACACACTATAAACCATCTACACTGAAGAGTTAAGTGTCCTTATCACTGATAAAAGAAACAGGTAATGGAGAAAATATTTTTTGGAATTAACATTACCTTGTGAATTTTAATTTTTAAACCCAAATTAGGAGCATTTCATATTTAAGTAGGTACTACAATTATGGCTCTGTTCCAAAATGCAGGGTGTGGTGGATTGACCTTGGCTGGACATCAGGTGCCCATCAAGACACTCCCATTCTACTCCTCAACAGGATGGAGAAGAGGGGAAAAGGGGAACAAGACCAAGAAAACCAAAAGCAAAGACCATGCACAGAAGCAAAAGAAAACAAAAGATTTATTCTCTACTTCCCATCAGCAGGGGATGTTGTGTGACACGGTTTAGTGTGAGGTGCTCCTGTCTATGGCAGGGAGGTTGGAACTAGATGATCTTAAGGTCCTTTCCAACCCTAACTATTCTATGATTCTGTGTCCAGCCCACTTCCTGCAAAATAGGGCTTCAGTACATGCAGCAACTGCTCCAGAAGAAAATCTTCGTAGTAGCTATGTACCCTCTACCCCCACCCCCTTAGCTTTTATTGCTGAGCAGACATCATGTAGTTTGGATTATACCTTTGGTAAGTTTGAGTCAGCAGTGGTGGCCCTGTCGCCTCCCAAGACCTCACCCACCCTCAGCCTACTGATGAAGAGGAACTGTTGGAAAGAAAGCATTGATGCTCTACTGCAAGGCTCAGCAGTAGCCAAGACACCAGTGTGTTATCAACACCTTTCCAGGTGTACAATACACCAGTACAAATCACTGCACTCAGAGAGCTGTTAGGGGGAAAATTAGCTCCACCTCAGACAGACACAATATACAGTTTTTTTCATTACTTACTTCTCCACTGCGTTGCAAAAAGCAACTGTGTTTTCATTACTTCCTTGATTTGCTTCAACCAGCTGGATAGACCAACCTGTAGCCTAAAAATACCAGAAAGACACCAGAAGGAACAGAGCTAAGTTATTTAGATCATAACAGAAGCTGAAGCAGTATAAGGCTAACACTGCATTTGCCTCCATGAGAACTTTCACACCTTATTATCCCTCCCCTGACTTGATGGAGCTCCAAAATAAGCACAAATAGCCCCATTTTGACTGCACTCTAAATGCTTTCAGAGAAAAAACACAAAGTCACAAAGAATCAACTACACTGGGTTTAACCAATTTTTTATCATCCCCCCCCCACCCCCCCCGGTGCAGAATGCAAGGAATGGCAGATAAAGCTTTCAAAATTCACCTGTATTTGCACTCGAAATGCAGAAGATGTATGCCTAGTTTACAAAAGGGAGAGGGGACAAAATGAAGCTTATGGTGCAGTGAGTTTTAATCCTTATTTTACATTTTCTGCTCTGGAAGGAATCTCAGGATCCCTTCAAATTCCATCAACCTGCCAGGTAAGTCCCTAAAACAGGTAACAGGAAATGACTGTATTATGTTCAACATGAAAAATCTCAAGATAATTTCTCTAAACTTGGAGAGCACAGGTCTGAGCCACTATTTTAGGTTGAAGTACTCCCTTGACTGTTTGCCATAGTATCCTTTAGTCACAACATTAGATCCAGGAAAGAGCTTAATACCATTGCATCTGAAATAAAGCCCATTCTATTCTTGTACATAGAGACATATGCAATGTTCCCCTGAGACACCAACTTTTAAACCCCTTCAGAGAGAGAACGGATTTAAAATGTCATGAATGCCACTGAAGAAATGAATGAAAATGTCATGACATGTCACTGAAGAGGAAACTGAGATGTTGTGGAAAGGTTTATCATTTTAATAATAATGTATATACAAGCATGTAAATTTATAAAAAAAAAATAATATACCAAATTCAACATTTTTTTTCCCTGAACAACGAAGTATGATAGGCATAAGAAGACGTAGGCTGAGTAATCTGAGTTACGGTTTAAAAGATAGGATGACTATAAAAGATGAAAGATCTGTTGGGAGCTGGCTAGTGGGGAGATAGCAATGCCAGAACAGAAACCTCTAAAACTACAAACCTTTTATAGATACCATCAGTCTGGGGTTTCATCATATGTAGTACTTTCATTAACCACAACAGCAGAAGCATTAGGAGAATGCTTATGAAATGTAAAGATAATAAGGGGGCATCATCAGTGGAAGGAAAAATTGAAATGTCTGGTAGGAAAAACAACGAATAAGCCTGAGGGCTGAAATAAGAGAGTTAAGTTTAGCAATACAAATCAGTGGTCCCTCATCCCTGATTCTAAGGACAGCTGAAAAAGCTCTTTCAGGAGTGTCGTGGTTTAAACCCAGACAGACAGCTTGTTACCCACTCCCCCCCTCCTTCTTGCCCTCCCCCTACTCCTGGGGGAACGGAGAGGAGAATCAAAAAGAAATGCAACTCCCATGGGTTAAGAACAGTTTAGTAACTAAGGTATAACACAAATCACTACTGCTACCACCAATAATAGTAATGATAAAGGAAATAACAAGGGAAGAGAATACACCACCTCATCACCAGCCGACCGATAATTCGCCCCCCGCCAGCCCGACCAAGCACCGACCCATACCTCCTCCAACCCTGCAGTCCACTCTAGCCCATTCTGGGTCCCCCCCAGTTACCTCCTGGGCATGACGTGCTGTGGTATGGAATACCTCTTTGGTCAGTTTGGGTCAGGTGTCCTGTCTCTGCTTCCTCCCGGCTCCCCTCCTCCCTGGCAGCGCATGAGGCCCACAGAGTCCTCGGCCAAACCAAAACATCATTGTTTTTCAGCTCTGTTCCCAGCTGAAAGTCAAAACACAGCACTGCACCAGCTACCAAGAAAGAGAAAAAATGACTGCTACTGCTAAAACCAGGACATTATCCACCCCTTATTCCATACCATTCACGTCATGCTCAGATCCCACATTTTCAATATACCATCACTCTTATCTAAGTGCACTCTCATCAGTGCATGGGCCAGTCCCTATAAAGCTGCTGAGTCCATCTGGTCCATGATGCCAGGCTCCATCTCTTGTAACAGAAGAGACTGTGTGCAGTGTTCACACTTGTGAATAACCTGGGCACTAGTGTCCATTGTTAGGTCCACCCCTCGATCATGAGTCCATCTCGATGTTGCATCTCTGCTCTGATGGCCTTAAGGGTCATGGGCCCACCAGGCTCAAAATAATTCACTGTCCTTCCATCTCCAATGTTTCCAAAGCACCAGAGGGGCCCAGTGGACTAGATACTTGCCCTTACTGTCCCACACACCCTGCCACTCATGGCTGTCCAGCCTTGGGGGAAACCTCTTGGTCCTCCCATATCGTTGTCTAACCCCAGACAAGACCCAGACCTGACTCTGCTTAACTTCTGAGATCAGACAAAATGGTGGTGGGTAAAACACACTCTGTGTGTGTGCCAGCATGCTGATCCCCATCACAATCAGCAGGCAGGTCCCAAGGGTACCCAAAGGCCATCCAAAACCTTCAGAACTCTCAAACGATGCTGCTGTACTTGTCACTGGGGCTGGTGTAGCTGCTGTGCTTGCCGGCTCTCCCACCACCAGCTTCTCTTTCCCTGAGTCCAGATCTTCCTCCTCTGCCTTGCTGGGAAATGCTGCGGGGTCTCCTGCGTCCTCCTGGGGCTCGGCAGGCGGCTTCCGGGGAATGCTCTCGGCTCCTCTGCGGGGCTGAGCTCGGCCGCGGGGCTCGGCTCCTCTGCGGGGCTCGGCTCCTCCGCCTCCTTCCGCTCCTCGAGCGCCCCGACCTCCTCCACCGGCAGCCGCTCCCTGCCGGCCTCCGGCCCCGCTCCCGCCGCCGTTTGGTGCCCGGGGCCGCTCTCCCGGGGCCGCTCCCCCTCGGCTTCCCAGAGCCTCACGCAGACGGAGGCGAGGGCCAGGGCCAGGACGGTGAGGAGCAGCCGGACGGCCAGGGACCAGTCCACGGCCATGTCCGTCCTGTCCGGCGGCTGGAGCCCGCCCGTATTACAAGCCATTGACATAAAGTACAGTGAGACAGGAACCTTAGCCCAAGCCCCACACTTGACAACACTAACACAGCAAATACCAGCTCTAAGTAAGTTACAACACTCTGAAGCTGTGAGATCAAGAGGAACAACTCTGAGAGCCAATAAGTCAGCATTGTGACGAGTGACTATTAATCCGGTCAGCTCTGTCATTATCTCAACCCCTTCGTGCCCCACGTTGGGCACCAAAAGAACTGTCGTGGTTTAACCCCAGCCAGACAGCTTGTTACCCACTCCCCCCCCTTCTTGCCCTCCCCCTACTCCTGGGGGGACGGAGAGGAGAATCAAAAAGAATGCAACTCCCACGGGTTGAGATAAGAACAGTTTAGTAACTAAGGTATAACACAAATCACTACTGCTACCACCAATAATAGTAATGATAAAGGAAATAACAAGGGAAGAGAATACAACACCTCATCACCAGCTGACCCCCCCCAGCGCGACCAAGCACCGACCCATACCTCCTCCAACCCTGCAGTCCACTCTAGCCCCTTCCGGGTCCCCCCCAGTTACATCCTGGGCATGACGTGCTGTGGTATGGAATACCTCTTTGGTCAGTTTGGGTCAGGTGTCCTGTCCCTGCTTCCTCCCGGCTTCCCCTCCTCCCTGGCAGAGCATGAGGCTCACAAAGTCCTTGGCCAAACCAAAACATCATTGTTTTTCAGCTCTGTTCCCAGCTGAAAGTCAAAACACAGCACTGCACCAGCTACCAAGAAAGAGAAAAAATGACTGCTGCTGCTAAAACCAGGACAAGGAGTCATTGAAAACATAGCACCTCCACTGGCTCATTTCATTCCACCTTGGTTAGACACCTGCTTTACAATTCACCTCAGCAGACGGTAATAAGGTTCACTATTTAGAAATTGTAAATGATTTGGTTACAGTAACAGCCTCCCCAGAGTATGATGTCATGAAAAGCCCCACTACACACAAAAAAAAACCCCAATAATAAAAAATCCCATTCCTGATCACATTTACACAGAGCAGATAGTTTTACAAAAAGATACATTGACAAGGCTCTAGAAAGTTTGCATTTGGGATGCTATTGTACCCCTATGTGCCAGATGGAGGAATTCAGTCTCTGGCTGCATGGTTTGCCTGGCGCCTCTCCCTGGGGCTGGGGATGTCAGGGGGCTCACTGGTGGGAGCTGTGCTCTGGCTGCAGTGAAGGAGATGCAGACGTTAACAGCCAAAAGGAGGAATACAATATTGACAAGGGCTTTACCGAACTAAGGACCACTGAAGCCCTATGCTGCAAAGGAAAGACAACTTAAGACTACCCTACAGGAGCAGTGGTGGAGACTCCCACAGGAGGGAAGGCTGGAAACCTGCTGCTTTCAGCAACAAAAAAAGGTTCCTCTCCCACCTGCAGCTCTGTCATTACAGAGCAAGCACAGTGCCCTGGAAAAGGGCATGGAGAAAGAGAGAGAGTGGATAAATAAAAAGCTGAGAAAACTAGACCACAGGTGAGAAAAGGTGAGGCTGGGACACAATACTGAATGGGACTGAAGATATTAAAAGACCAAAACTACTGTTAAGAACTGAAAAAAACAAGGAACAGATTGTGATTAAGCAAGGAGAGAGCCAACACATGTGAAGGCTAATTGGCCATGAGGATGAGTATGGATCCTCAAATTCATGGCTTGAAGATGAATGCGATCAAATAGTTACTAAAGGATGGCAAAAAGGAGCTCTGTATGGAGAGGCCTGATGACAACAGTGATAAACTAAGACAGTGGATCCCTGGATGACTGGAATCTATCTTTTCACTTCCATAAATTTCTCACATTATGCTACTAATCAAGTCACCTGAACCATCCTTCCCAAATATAAATACTAATTGCATATTTCTCATTTCTGAAGCACACAAACTGAAATAATGAAGTTTGATCTGATGATTGGGTTTGGGTGAAGAAGTGAATTTTGCTAGTTATTCTGAAAAAAATGGATTCCAAATATTGTAGATGGAGCAGCCAAATATATTTGATAGTTTATAGGTTGGTTTTTAGTTTTCTTTCTAATATGGAGAAAATAAATCTCTTTTTACAGGGATGTTATGAAGACAGTTTCCTTAGTATTTTGGAACATCTGACTTGGTGATGACAAGGCAAGAGAAAATTAATGTTACCTTTATTGCAGTGGACATATTTTGATTATCACACATTAAATAAAGCCTACGGTCATACAACTTCATCCAAGAACTACGGATCAGAATGACAATATGATTTCAGCTATGTGAGTATTTCATTTTGCATACCTATCACCAATCTCGTTAATTTCCATGTTGCAGCATCGTTTCAATTTCGCTCTGGCTGCAGTCTTGGTTCTCACCTCCCGCTACCCAGAAGCATCATTTACACATCCTGGACCTCACCAATCCAATCTTTGCTAATTTTCTTTCTTTTTCTGTGGTGCTCCACTTTTCCAGCTGTCTGACAGTCTTACTCTGCATTAGCCCAGTGGTCTCACAGCCCTTCTTCTCCAGAACTCCCAGCTCAGTAGCAATGAGTTACTTCACAGGCTTTTTTTACCCTTCCCTATCTCAACTTTCTTTCATTCTCATTTTCCATTTCTTACTATCTCAAGGTTCAGTTGCTAGCCCCTTGTCTTGGCTCTCTATCCTGACTTGCCTGTTTCTCCCTGAAGGAATTCCTGTGACCACACTGGTTTTTCTGGTACAAATCAATTCTTTCCTCTCTCCCATATCTCCCTCTTCTACCTAAACTGCTCAAATACTTCCCTGACTTAATCAAATCCTTCCACCCATTTGACTGTAGTCACCCTTGAGTCACTCATCTCTTCCCTTTCCTCCCTATAATTAACTCCTCTGTCAAAGAAGCATTTGTGCCTGTTCTTCTGTGTCTGCTTCCTCCAGCACCTCTTCTTCCCATTCCAGAATTTAATCTCCTCCTGCTCATTTTGTATCCTACTATTTTCTACTTTTCCTATGAGAAGGCTGTTCATCATGATGCTTTAGTTTTCTTATGCTTTAGTTTTCCTATCATAAGCAAAAAGCAATACCACTCTTTTGTCTCACCACCTATTCATCCCCTTCTCTTTTGCATTCATCGCTGAACTTCCAAAATGTGGTGCCCAGGACTAGTCTTAAGAGTTCCTGTCCTCAGATATATTTACCCTCCTGCCTCCCCATCTTTCTGGGTCTGCATATGTTCATTTCTATAGTTCTCCCTATACACAGACATAAACACAAGTCAATCAAGTGTCTCTTCCCTTTTACTTTATGATACTATGATCACTGGAAGTTAAAAGCAGAAAGTGAACCTAAACTGTCATTTAATATTCATGGTGCAGATGCAGAGATATCCTGTAGGCTATTTCAGGATTCCTGTAATGATTTGGAATGCTAACAAGGATTAGAGAAAAGGGAGGATTTATAATTTTCTTTTCCCTCCTCTATGTCAGGATTGTGAAAGAAAGAAAATGAGGAGAGATATAACATCAGAGTGTCATGTGAGTCCCATAAGACATCATTATTAAAAGCTGCAAAACCATGAATGGAGCTAAGAACACTTGATGGAAGGAAGAAAAAAAGGTAGAGCATTTGTTTCACAAAGATAGCTAATGATAGTCTGTGTTATAGGATGCAGCTTCTGCAGTTACAGTAAATTCGTCTATTTTTAGAAAATAACTATATATGCAGAACATGAAGGCAGGACACAGTATTTTTCTCTCTCACGATCAGGATATGTCAGCCAAACTAGACACAGAGACAACAGTCTGGCTGAACAGAAAAAGAGATTCAGGATAACACATTGTTATTTTGAATCTCAGGTTTCATATCAGACCATAAGATTTGTTATCTTCTCTCGTTCAAACACGTCTTACTCTACATTCCTGTACTTATCTCTTTGTGGCAGTTTCATGGTTCAATGAGCCACAGAATGAGCCCATTGGAGCATTCTAGACCATAATCTAGATTCTCTTTTAGTGTAAAATGCTTTTGCTTCCACACAAGGCCTAAATGTTTTATTTTTCATAGTGTCTTTACATCAAGGGCTTCTAATCCATGCTGCATCAGCCTGAGCAAATAAAAAAAAGTGCAAGGACACAAATAAGAATCAAGAACCTTAGGCACTGTTAATATGAGAAAATTTAAATACCTCTCTGTCATGTCCAGAGCTGCTGGGCCAGGTAGGCTCTATGTCACATCTTCTGGAAGTGTCAGTTAAACAAACTTCTCCATTTCCACTTTCATCTTTCACTTCTTGTCCAAATGGATAGTTGTCTAAGAAAATGGGACTTCGAGCATCTATGTTATCAAAGCCTCTCTGAAAATTCAGATTTGTGTTGCCTCTTCCCACATTTGAATCAAACACATTTGTGACTGGTCTTAAATTATTCCCTCCATAGAGTTCTCTCTCTTGACTGTAGGGGTAGTGATCCACTAGAGAGAAGTTTTCGTAATCAGACAGTAAATCAGGCCTGAAGCCAACTGCTGGTGACGCTGTGCCTTGTTGCCAGTGAGAGACAGGATTTCTAGGGTAAAGCTCACCATAAGGAACTAGAGGCTGACCACAAAACTGCTGGTCAGGCACATTCAGACCAAAGACATCTGATGGGAAAAAAATTTCTTCCTGATGATGTGAATGTGATGAACCATAAAAAAAATATTCATTGCTGACTTCATCAAATATTCGATCGAATCCTAGGCTGACCTCTCCAGCAGAACCAGAATGGTATACCGGGTAAGATGCTTGGTTCCCAGGATGTCCTTCATCAAATTCCTTGTATGAGAAAGGCAGCCTCTCAAAGTATGCCATGCCTGATTCTTCTCTTCAGTCTTATTACTCCTCAGGGAGATCTTACAATAGTTCCAAGGTTAACAGTAATGTTCCGAACAGGAGCTACAAACCCACTAAAACGAAGCACAGAATAAAAGTTAAACTCTAAAATATCTAGTATAATGAAAGCAATACATTTCTTTGGTCTTTTCTTGCTTTAGGACTTTCTCCACATGGTGAAAATGCTTTTTTAATCTAGAGCTTGAAAAGTCTTTTGCCTGATCCTCATTCAAGTACATATTTATTATTATCATCATCAAATAATAATAAAAACTTTTTATTATGGACCCCTAAACAGCAGCAACAGAATATCTGAAACAACTGATCTAAATATATTAATTATAACAACTATTGTAGCAAACCTCAGTATTATCAATTATTTTATGTTTGTATAGCACACAATGCAGGCATCTAAAACAAGCTGGTAGGAAAGCTTTGCATTATCACTTTAGTGGCAGTTTAATTTACATCTTCCTCTTCTTTTGTGCCTTTGATGTCTTCATATTCTACCACTTTTTATCCTAATGTAATCATTTAAATCAAAGAATATTTAAGACATGGCTCTCCAACTAATATTCGAAACACTACATCCCAAATGCTTGGAATTAGCATATGTAAAGAAACCCAAATATAAATAAATGAACTACAGACTTCTTTTCATTTTGTTTTTCAAAACAGTTATATTTTCAATGCCTGTATCTTTTTTAGTAAATTAACAGGCAAGGACATGCATGAGCTTCTGCAGAAACTCGTCATCACTCATGCTGTTACTAGCAAACTTCTTGATATGATTTTGGCATGTGCCAAGTAGTCCTATCGTTCAGATGGGCAGCATGCACTGGAGACTTCTGTCAGTAGGCATGAGGCTGTCTTTTTTAGGAAGAGAGTTTAGTTCTAAAACCAAAATCTATTCTAGGCCACTTGCCCTCAAGGCCTTGGCCTGTTTCATTTACTGATACAAACGTGGCCTGAAACACAAAATGTACTACAAAAAGTACACAGTTGTGTTAGGTACTTTATTCCACAAAAAAAATAAGAGAAAAAAACAAAAGAAAAAAAGAAACATCTCACTTAATGCTGCAATAAAGAAAATAATTATTCCCTAGCAGGAAAAAAAAAAAGCCCAAACAAACCAGCTATCGAGATAAATGTGCGCTTAGAAATTGCTAAAGCTAAGCTCCAAAACCAGCTTTTCCAATATGTCCCCAAGATCTATATCGTATTATTTTAGGTAATAGCTCCTTGCAATGAAAATCTATATTACAACAGAAGGTATTCATCATAACTTTATTTTTGGTTCATTTGAAGTCAAACTCTAGGTGACATAGGCTTCTGTCACCCACAGTGAGGAATGAGAAGAGAAATGAAAAGTTAAATAAAATTAAATGAAATCTCTAAGAGGCTGAACTACTTTTTGAGGGCTCAATTTAGCAATTCCACGTGTTGCGTGCTTAGGTTTCCTTTAACCATTCTGGGTTAAGAAAAAAAACAACAAACAAAAAAACCCCACAAAAACAAACAAACAAACAAACAAAAAAAAAACCCCAACACATTTATGAAATAACACTAAGCCAGATAACCAGATAACCAAAATGATGCACACCATTTTGAATGGTGAGCTAAGCATGACTCTCAAAGTCTCAGGACCTTTCTCTCAGAGTTACTCCTATCACCTTAATCATCCTGATTAAGTTGACACCCTTTTCTGGAGGAAAAAAAATAAATAAGCATAGCAATAAGACGTTTTTTATTTTATGAAATTATCCTTGTTTACAACTTCTTCTGTTTCTCATTTCTTAAGCAATTAAATAAAAAACAAACAAGAAACCTAACCAACCTGAATGAAAAGGATATATCCATTAAATCAAGAAAGATAACGTCTCTTATTCCCTCCACCCATCTTGAAAATATGAATGTTTCAGGAAAAATCAGAGATAAAAGAATGATATTTCCATACAGCCTCATCTTCCTTAAGGAAGTCTGGCTACCTGGAAGATCAGGCAAAGAAAATAAAGCTTTTACACCCTTTCAGTTACTTCTAAAATATTTTCTTTGCATTTCCAACAAATTCTGTTTATGATGATACATTAATGTCTAACAGCTAACCTTGCTTATTCACCATTAAGACTTCTATGTGTATAGCATCTCATATTTCTCCAACAGACAAATATTCACGCACACACAGACCCTACCTCCATTCATTGGTATATGAATGCTTATCTCCTGCACTTTCCATAGTTCTCTGCAAAAGCATTGCTTTCCTAGTGTTTTTTTAAAAGCATGGAGTTTAGCTATTATGCCAAAAGCGAGTCAGTACATTCGGCTCCCCTGTTCTCCTTAGTGGCCTAGGAATTCCACATGCGTAACAAGAAGTCTGCATGATGCAGCGGAATTCTTCTCTCAGCGTGGATCAAGGCAGAGAGGGGGCCTTGCAGGTAGCAGACCTTTGTACCACATTGTAGTGCTGTCTCTGGTTAACACAGGCTTGCGTTTAAAACTAACCATTTACACTGGAAACTCAGCGTGCCGTGCTGTAAATCTCTGTGGTTTAAGTCTTACCTGGTAGTTTGGTTAGTAAGACTAGGCCCCATATTTGGGCCAACGCCTGATCCTTTTCAAAACAGCACAGTTCAGGGAAGTTAGGGAAAGGATTTGGCTCTTTGGCAGCCACTATTATTCCATTTGAATTGTACAAAGTGCATCGATGCCACTGAATTTTCAAAAATCACTAATGAAAATATAATGCATTAAAAGAAAAAAAGAAAAAAAAAGTTAAGCTTCCAGGTTCATTCTGTCTTGTGGTATCTGAATTCATATATTGGAGGGTCTGGCTTTTTTCTTCTACAGATAAGAAGCTCTCCTTTTCCTTTTAAATGACTGCTGTGTTTTCACATAATCATGCGGTTCTCGGGTCAGGGGTTTTAAGAGAGAATCCCAACAAATTATGTAAAATATTTACTAAAAATCAAGAGATTTGACAGCACGACACAATGCTCACAACATTGTAGCTACTGAGTTCTTTCCTTGCACATACATTCTAGTATAAAAGATTGAAATGCCATGGGCTTGGGTTTCCCTTTTTCACCAGAACCCAGGAGATGACACTGAGCAACTTGCTAAGCAGTAAGAATATTTGTTGCAACCTCTTACCTGAAACACATAATTTGTTAGAAGAATACAGTCTCCTACGTCTTCCTGCTCATAGACACATTCCGATGACCTATGTGCTTTCAGTATCAAGGAGGTGTAACTTTTTCATCAGAAGCTTTCCTTCCTGTCTAACCGGTTTACTGTGGCAATGATTCTTTCCCATGTCTTCCTTGAGGGAAATTTCAAACAGCAGTAAATTAAAAGGTAACACTTATCTGTTCTCTTTCTCAATTCGGGAACTCAACCTTTCTTTTTTTTTCTTTCCCCTAAATGGTGGTAGATGATCTCACATTTTCAGTACAAGTATCAAACATGCTTAAAATAACAAGACAACTTGTCTAAAGGAAAGACTTGCCTCTTCAAGACTTGTGCACCAGAACAGGATTCAGAAATTTTACTCCATCTTCATGCAGCTTCCATCTGTCTGCACTGGTGGTGCATGCTCTGAAAAGAACTCCTAGGTCTGCTCACCAGAGAAGGGGATGGTACAAATCCTGCAGAGCAGAGGCCCTCTGGCTTTGGCCCCTCAGTACACAGAGCCAGGACAATCTAATGGAAGAAGAACCTCTCTATGCTGGGGCATTTCTCAATGGCTGATGAAGCCTTGCCCCTCTGCAAAAGGCCTGCTGGAGAGCTGGAGTAAATACAGCACTGTTCACAAACATCTTCCCAGACTTTAAGGATCCCAAGACCTTCCATAAAAGGGAGCAGCAAAGTCTGCTCCAGGCACAAGGCAGAGAGGATTCCCTCAGGGACCATCTGCTTTCACATTTCATACCATTCCTTAAAAAGGTATAAATTGCTCCACTGAGCTATTCAGAATTTACACAAAATCCCAATCCTGGTCTACTTCAAGGTTGTTACAGAGAAGAAAAAAACATCCTCAAAAATAGTGAAGGAGTCAGTATCAACAAAACAATATTTCATATATAAAAAGCCATGCAGTAAAAGTGAACAGATTAGGATAAAGCATTTCAAGTTAATAATTAATCTGAGATACCTTATATCTGATAAACTAAATGAAGCAATAAGCTGATAAAGCATTACAGGGAAAACTCTGCCCTTCAAAGTACAACAAAAAGCTGTCAGTGATGTCATTGTGATTTAAAAGCAGTTAGCCAAGGACAAAACTTATTTCAGTTGGTGAAGGGTGATGCATTTTTTCCCATCTATTCTCTAACCCTCAAAATGTCAACTTGCTCCACAAACTCTTTGGTGGCATTTGTGCTGAACTGTAGTTGTTACCAGTGATTATTGTGGGGCAATCCTGAGAGAAGGAACACACCAGTTTTAGGAGCTGTCATTTCAGAGTTTATGGCAGTGTGATATTGTTTCATCTCACAGAGACTGGACACAGCAAAAGGAGGAGGATCAAGAAAATAGAGGAAATATGAGTGGGAAGAGCTTGTATTCCCAAGCAAACAAACAAGGCTATATTCCTAATATGAACTGTGCTAAGACATGGTTATGAAGGTTTTTTTTGGGAAACTGAACATTTTCAGAATTTTGTTAGGCTTTTAAGATGTCCACTATTTTTCTGTTTCCGCCAAAGTAGTACGTAGGGAACTGCTGAGTCACTTTCTACTCTAATTCCTCCTAGAACTACCAAGAATTGTCTCCTCCTCTTTTGCTGGCATGTGGGACAAAATCTCTAGAGACAAAGGAAACTGGATACTGAGATACCTCCTTTCCTTCAGTTAGACACTCTCGCTGCTCCACCAACTGTCAGCAGCCTACATCTTACTCAGATTAAAGAAGAATTATATATTCAATTTAACCATATGTGAGTGTGCTCGTACAAGCCAGGACTGACAATTCTGTCCCCATGGGTTGCTATTTTGCTAGCTCTTTACATCCAGCTTTTTATCAGACCTACCTTGTACAAGGTCAGATATAAAGCTGCATGTAAAGAGCTATCAAAATAGTCACTCTAACACCCCCCAAGATAAAACACAGCATCTTAAGCAGGTTTTTGCTCTCAGTGTTGCTCCATTCACTGTTA